CATACATAATTTTTATTAATTTGATTCTAAAGGGAATTTGCATAGTATTTCCTAACACATTCCAAGGCCATCCTACTATGAGGCCTTACCAAAAACATGTTTTTATTTTGATGAGTTGTAATTTAATAGTTTAATTATCAATATTGGTGCACAACATGACATAAAATAAACTTCGATTGTGCAAAAAAACTAAGCCATCATTCAGTAATTTCAGTTGCCCTATCTTACATTAGCAACGAACTTGTATGTAGTTGTAAATTGTAATTGATGTTATTAGGTATTGAGATATAAAACTATAAAAGTAAATTGATATGATATTATTAAACGAGAGAAACTTGAGATGTGAATTTATCAGTAAGAATGGATGAAGTATTTAAGTACAAAATATTGCCATAAATGAATACTCAATAATACTTTGTATTTGCGTGGGTCAACACATATTTTTCTATACCAATTGGTATTACGCAGTCCAACCCAGAATGTGTAAGGAATGGACAGATAAATTTAAGCCCAAAATAGAGCCCAAGTTTACGCCATGTCTTTATTGTCCTAGTACTAATAGCCCAATAAGGTGTTTAACTAGCCAATTGAATAAGAATATTCTACGCCATGTCTTTATTGTCCTAGTACTAGTATTTGTGATTTATGATAATGTACTTTATATTTGTAAAGTTGAAAGTTTTTGAGAGAAGAGTAAAGTTTAGTGTCAAAGTAATGTTACTATTTCTCTTGTGCACTATTGGGAAAGAAGCAAAATTACAATAATCAACGTAAGGACAAAATGTATGAATGTACCTTAGAATTAGATAGCTATAATAGTCTTGAAAGTGAAATACGTTTATTTGAGATTTGATATAAAGTACATTATCATAAATCACAAATTCTTAGATGTGGCTGGTCACACTGTGTGGCCACCAATCATAGAGTTATTTCGTTAGTATTATAAGGGTTACTTGGTCAATGTTACAGAGGTTACCTGGTCAGTGTTATAGAGATTATTTTGTTCTTTTATAAGCAACCACATAGTGTGGCCAGCCGCACACAAGACGGGCTGATCATAAATAAATAAACAACAACACGAAGTGAATAGGATGCCCGACAACATATTACTCCTAAATTATTGCATTTTCGAAGATATTTGGTAGCTTTTAGCTGCTGCAAAATTTAATTCAAATTAAACTAATTTGTATCAAAGTTTAATTTAGGTATAACTCTGTCTTTAAAAAAAAAAAAAAATTTAAAGTAAAAGTTTTGAAATTAATGAACTTCATTCGTTTCAATTTAGTTGACACATTTTAACTTTCGACGACATTACTGTTATAAACTATCTTTTGATTAGTTTATGTTATTTATTGATAAAAAAAATACATAATGAAGTAGGATGTTGTGATATTCATTCCATTGTATAATCAACTTTATATTTATATTGTTTGATAATTTAAGATACTTCCTCCATTTTTTTTATTGCACCATAAAGACTTTTACACCATTCGCATAACCTTTTTTGACCATCTTTTGTGATTTATCGTTAACAAAAAATATAGTCATGTGGGATCTAGTTAGATTCGTCTCTAAATTTACTTTTCAAATATCAACTTTTTTATAATTTTTACAAAAGTGTAATTAAAGATATTGATAGCCAAAGTAATGCATTGACAAGAGTAAAACCCGGCCTTCATGGTGCAATAAAAAAAAAACGGAGGAAGTAGTTATGATTAAATTTAACCATTGAGGTAAACCGTAAATGTGATAAAACAGACGTGTAACTAATTTGGGATGGAGGAAATAATAAATAAATTAATCACTTTTAATAACAACACTGTACATCTTCAATGGAATGATTTTGTGCAATCTAAATAAATCCTCCCAAAAAAATATAATTGAGCACTTTAAGTAAAAAAATAAAAAGGTCGACAAAAAAATTACAAAGTAAATAACTTCCTACAATTTTCTCTTTTATTGACATGTCAAGATTATTTTTCATTGCAAATTGAACAGATACCGTGTTTATGAATGAAATTTATCACTCTTATAATATTTACTTGGGAGTATGAGTATGTATATGATCAAATATGCGCTATTTTTTTTAAAGAAAAATACGTGCTAATTTTAATACTTGTATAATTAACGTTTTATTTAACTTAATATCCGAAGCATAATTATTTAGGATAAAATTAGCTTATTCTTCACTTGATCAATAATAAAGGTGACAATACAGAATTCAAGAAATAAACGTATCTTTGATTTGTCATCTTGCGATCAATGTTTTTTAGTTAACCTTATTCAATCACGAAATTTCTGAGCAACTTCCCATAAAGAATTTCCAATAATTAAGTCGACATATATACGGAGTATTGGAGTAACATCTGCTGTCTACATTCTATAACAGTTTCAAGTGAAGTTGAACTAAACAAATATTTTACGTAATTAGCTAGGTTTTGGCATTTTGTACAGGGTTTAATGAAGATCGTAGAAGAAACTGTGGGGATCAGATGGAAAGAGAAAGTATGTGGTATAGAAGTATGGGAATTAAATTTACCGTACTTGAAATAATTAAGAAGGTACGAAGTAATTTTATTTTATTTTTATTATTCTAGTTTGTGTTTAAAATGACAATGTGAATTAGCAGTCAAATAATACCACGAAAGTAAGTAATAAAAGGATTTTGGATATATGTGTATTTTGTATGATAAAGGTAAAAAATTGTATGGAATATGATAGAATTATGTGATATTTAAAAAATAAACACAATATTTTGGGACACCCAAAAAGGAATACAAGCACGAAAATAAGGACGGAGAGAGTAAGATTTAAGTTGAGTTAAAATGAATTAATTCCAATAAAATAGGCTTTAATTAATAATCCTTAACATCTTGCCCTAAGGGTGGAGTAACTTTTATATATCGTCACGAAATGTGCTTTAAGGACCACCAATTATTCCCACAGACCAACAAGATTTCTTCCGGTACACTTTGTTCTCGCTCATGCGCACTTTGAACGAGAAAAAACTCCCCAGGCCAAGAGGTTCATACCCATTTGAAGATTACTAGCGAAAGATGCATCTTAAGAATAATCCCAACCAAGTATACCTAACTTTGAAGTATCAATCAATAACCTAATACTAAAACAGACACCGGGAGTGACACGTGTCACATCCTGATGCTATTTTTCCCCTACAAAACTCCCTTTTCCTTATAAGAAATTTTCAATGGTGACCCCAAATTTCTGCTACGCACCAATGGTCGCCTCTTTTTTTTTTATTATACAAAAATGACCCTAATAAAGAAATTTATCTCACATATAACATTAATGAGTGTTATTTATTTTAAAAAAAAACTAACTATGGTTAATTTTGAAAATAAATAAAAACTAAATATAAAAACCACCAACCCAGCCACCACCTTCACCCTCATCCCCACCAGATGTAGCCAGCACCACCTCCACCCTCATCGGAGCCACCATCTCTCTACCTCCACCTTCAACCCATCATCACCGCACAACCCCAGCGCAAAAACTCCCTCGCACAGCAGCCCGCAACCAACCAGCAGCCGCTTCCTACAAGATAACCACTGTTAGCCGCTGAATAATTCACCCAACCACCAAAAATCGGCCACCCCCACCTGCCGAGCCACCATCTCCCTTTCCGGCAAGACCACCTCGACCACTCAGCTCCCAGACCGACGAACCCAAATCACGACTACCCCAAATCGCCGAACTTAGAACCTCGAACACCCCGACCACTCCCGGATCGCCGAACCAAAACAACGACCACCCTAGATCGCCGAAATTAGAACCCCGACCACTCCCAAATTGCCGAACTTAGAACCCTGACCACCCCCAGACCGCCGAAGACAAACATCGACCACCCTAGATAACCAAATTACCTAGAACCGACCACCGATCCTTCAACTCTCTCTTTCTTCTCTACCCTCTCCTCCACCCTCTATATCTTTATCTTCCGCCTTCTCCGATCCCCCCCAGAATCGAAACCTCACGACGAAGTGGCGAGAATCGAAGTTTAGAGGAGAGAGAGTTGTGAGGTTAGGGTCGGTTCGGGTGAGAATCAGGTTTGGCGGTGGTCGAGGTGGAGTTGGCGCAGTGTCACCGACGGTCGGGGGAGTGTGGGTAGGGTCGACAACGATTGATGGAAATTGGGGTAGTGTCGCCAGAAGGGAGATGGTGGCTGGTTTTTGGTGGTTGGAGTAAATTTTTTATTTTTTTTTAAAAAATAGAAATCTAACCATAGTTAATATTTAATGAAATAAGGTTATGAGTGAGATGAAATTTTTAACTAAGGTCATTTTGTATAATAAATATAAAGGGAGGTGACCATTGGTGCTTAGCAGAAGTTGAGGGTCACCGTTGAGAATTTCCCTTTCCTTTTTAACCAATATATATATATATATATTATTTGAATATTTGATACAATTATAATAATATTATTCCAAATCTAGCTTTTATATTATCTTTATGACAAAAATATTCCTCTTTTTGTATTCATAATTTTTCCATACACATTTACCTAAAATATTATTCCATTAATTATCTGATAAATGGAGTAATATTAGATTTTGCTAAAAAAGTAATACTCCATGATAAAATTGATTCATATTATTGATGTTAAAGAAATTACTTTAAAGCATCACTTTTTTTGTTAGATACATTTCTCTATGAAAAATATGAATCGGTTAATTATTTTTTTTTTAAAAAAAAAATTAGACCTACCGTACATAACACGGGGCCTAATCTAGTCTCAATAATAATTATATAATTAAAATAAAGATGCATCTTGTTGATATGGGTAGTACATCAAATCCCATTAAAGCAATAATGGACAATATTATATAATTAGTAAAAATCAGCTTACTTTAGAGAACAAATGTATAATAGTGAATCACTAAAAAAAAGTTTTACAGAGTAATCAAATTAAATATCTAACTTCAGTAAAATTTAATTTCAATTTAGTAAAAATGACTTATTTCAGTAATTATAATCTAAGATTATTATAAAAATAATTTAAGAGCAGTAAACATCAGATAATTAAAGAGAACATGGCTGTAATGAGTGAAGTTGCTAGTGCCCGAAGCTAGCTAGAAATCTAGAATACACCATGACATATGGCGAATGGATGGTATGGGATGATGATGTGATGAATTTCCTCGAAAAAGAGAGAGATCTCCTCCCATTATCGCAATCCTTTTCTCACTAATTGGTCGACATAACACTTGCTCGGCCTTGTTTTTTTTATTCGAAAGCTACATACTTCTCTAATGAACTACTTGTGTTATATAGAAAGAGGTTATTGTCCTATCGTTCGAGTGTTCTATCTTTATGCAAAATTATACCAAAAACTTCATCATAGAGCTATATATATTTGTCCATACTATCCATATTACAAAAAGATCGGAGTATCGTTATTTTGTATTTTTAGTTAAATACTCAAATGTACGAATATTTGAAAGGTTTTTGTCTTTAACATATACTAACATGTATATATATATGTTGTGAGAACGAACAATGATAATAGTAGTCGGGAGCAATTAAACTAGAATTTGAGTTAGTTATTTTTTTCTAAAATAGTTAGAAAAAATGAGTGGAATCATAAATCTATTAGTGATGGCTTCAATGCCAATAGCAAAGGTGCTATTACTTGCGGCCATTGGTTCCTTTCTTGGTTTAGACCGTGTTAATATCTTGGGTGAAGATGCTCGTCACCATTTGAACCAAGTGAGTATAAATACTTCAGTTTACGTCGATTTGTTGTGTATGTGCATAATTTTTTTTATTTTTTATTTTTTTTTATGAAATTTGCTCTTTGTTTTGGTGTGTTTAGGTTGTGTTTTATGTATTCAATCCGGCACTTCTTGCTAGCACCTTGGCAAAGACAATAACCTTTGAAAGCTTTCTTACATTGTGAGTTTATGCATATGAAAGTTAGCTTAGATTTAGCAATTTTTTATACTACGTATGTATATAAAGTTTGTACTATGTATTTATTTGATTTGTTTATGTGGTTGATGAAGGTGGTTTATGCCAGTGAACATCTTTATTACATACCTTATTGGCTCAATACTTGGGTGGGTACTTATCAAAGTTACAAAAGCTCCAAGGCATCTCAAGGGCCTTATTATAGGAGCATGTTCAGCGGGTAAAATCTTTACATTATTTATGATTTATTCGCTTTTTTGTTTTGTACTAGTATATGTTAATTGCCCTTGCTAGTTGGCCCCGTTAAGTCCATGGAATAGTATCCAATCTTGGAGATCAAATCCCGTATATTTTGTCCTTTGTGGCTCTTATTACACCAATATAAAGGATTTACTAACGCATAAAAATAATTTTTTTTTTTAATGAGATCAGGTCACTATGTTACATATGATTTCATTGTTTGTGTTGGATTGATTTGCGATAGGTAACTTGGGGAAACTTCCCCTCATCATCGTCCCAGCAATGTGTAGAGAAAAAGGCAGCCCCTTTGGAGATGTTGATGTTTGCCAATCATATGGTTTGGCATACGCTTCACTTTCTATGGCGGTAATAAAGGCTTGTTTATTGTTGTTTTAATACGCCTTATTTTGATTAATAAGCTACACAATTTTGAAATCTTAAAACCAAATACTGAAAACTGACTATGCTAGCTATTACACATTGTATGTATTCCAGCTCGGAAATTTTTACATATGGTCATACACTTACAACATCATCCGAATATCTTCAAGGGAGATTGTAGATGTAGATGCAAATCACTCTGAAGTTGGAGATGAAACATATGGGAAGAACACAGAATTCTTACTTAAACCTGCTGATTATTCTCTAATGACTCCTAACAACAAGGTTAGAACTTAATAAACTTAATTTACCATCACTTCATCATATACTGTGAATTACTGAATATTGACTTTTTTTTGTTTGATGATGATATATAATATTGGCAGATTCCAATGTCATTAAAGTTTCAGCAAATGTTATCCACATTCTCAGGAAAGATCAATCTCAAGCCATTGTTTTCACCTTCTACTATTGGTGTGGTACGCTTGGTTCCTTTTTGCTCTTTACTCTAAGTAGGTCTATAACCAGTAATCAATGCAACCAATTAGTGTTTAATCCAAATACTTGTGTTAGATAGGATAGTTTTAAGTACAAGTCCTTTTTCGACGTTGGGTAGGTTCAAGTACTGGTGGTACCACTAAAAATGAAAAGATTTGTACTTTGTACCCTTCTATACAAGTACTTGATTTTATTTTCCTTCGGGTTTTTAAAGATGGGCTCGACCCGATTTTGGTCAAGCTATGGATATAAATTTCGGTTTGAAGTCGAGTCCGGATCAACCTCAATTTCTTTTTGGCAGGCCAAGGACAAGTATTTTAAATATTTCTAGTTTTTCTTTTTCATTTGCCCAGCCCAAAATGGTTGGAAAGCCCGATTGGTCCGGTCAAAATTTACAGGTTTTGGGCAAGGTCTGAACCTTGGCCCGACTACCCAACTTAATAGGTTGATTCTTTAGCCTTTGGCCCAACCAAAAGCCAGTTAACTTTGGCCGACGTCTTTTTAGATATATAGTTTATTGACTTTAATATGATAAGATGTAAGTGGGGTAATTGAGGTATCAAAAAATCATAACAAATTATAGTGGAGTTAATAGTGTAATGAAAAGTAAAAAATGTATAAGGGGAAAAAATAATATGTAGTAATAAAATACAAAGTATAAAAGGGTAAAATTGTTGAAGAGATATAATATGAAAATGTAGTAATTTGCCAAATTAAAAAAGGTGTAACTCTAAATCGATCTAATCGTCATCACTTACCTCATCAAATGTGTCTTTTTAAAATAAATGACAACATTATTTTATATTCATTCTATGCTCATCATTCATTAATTATGATTTCTTGATTATACAGATAGTTGGATTTATGATTGGTTTAATTCCTCCACTGCGAAAGTTGCTGATTGGTAATGATGCACCACTCCATGTCATTGAAGATTCAGCCTATTTGCTTGGGTACCAACTTAATTAACTACTAACGCTCTCTACTCATCTTAATCCCCTTTACCATAATATATGTTGCTTAGGTTATTTTTAACTCGAATACTCCATCTGTTCGGAATTAATACAGGGATGCAGCAATCCCAACCATCACGTTAATCCTCGGAGCAAACCTGCTTCTAGGTACTTTTAAAAACTCCAATTCAGTTACCAATCAATATGTTTTGAGAATCCACACGCTTTGATAAATTGGATGATTTTTTATATTCAGGTTTGAAGGGATCCATAATTCAGTTTAGAATTGTAATTGGCATAGTAGCCATACGTTACATTTTACTTCCCCTACTCGGCATTCTTATAATCAGGGGAGCTATTCGCGGTGGTATTTTAAAATGTGACCCATTATTTCAGTTTATTTTGCTACTTCAATATGCAGTCCCGCCTGCAATGAACATAAGTACGTTATCTAACTATTGAATTTTTTTTCTTAAATACGTGCATTTGATCAACATACACCAATATAATTTTCTAGGTTACTCTAATCATGGTCGATATTATTTCTAATAGTAATACATACACGCATTTCACTATTTAACCCAAAACCCATTCATACTTCCCTATAAGTCCTAGAGAGGGTGAAATAAAGTTTCCCATAAGCCTTTAAGTGACACTTTTAATTTAAGGTCTTTTTTGAAGTTTGTCTAATGAGTATTAGCTCATGTTAAGTTTAATTGCAATTTTTTTTGATGACTGAAAACCTACATAAATTATAATTTAAGTAAATTTAAAAGGGAAATTATTTGTATTTAAGACCCTAAATAATATATTCAATTATTCACAACAAAAGTTAGGGTTCTTCAAATTTAGATTAGGGTTTATAGATTCAAATAAATTTGTACTCGTATTAAGGAAAAAAAATAAATATATATTACTGTATGAAACTGAAACAACACGGAGTATAATTTATGATCCTTAATTAATTACCCACCTAATAATTTGTCGTGTATATATAATAATCCTTGAGGTCCTTGACTGCCTAATAGTTTATCGTACGTGTATCACCTACCAAATGTTTGTTAGTACTACGTACGAGTAACTTCTAAATTTTGATGATGAGCTGTGAAAAATGACAGGCACAATGACTGAGCTATTTGGAAATGGTCAAAGTGAATATTCGGTGATATTGTTGTGGACGTATGGTCTAGCTGCGGTTGCACTCACTCTTTGGTCCACTATCTTTTTGTGGCTTGTGGCTTCTTAGTTACTCTTCATTTTGAACTACTTTCCCGCTCACTAATCACATATAGTACTACAACTCTACGGTTCGCATGTGAGAGGGGCAGAGGGCACTTAGAAGATCGAAGTCCCTTACAAGTAGGGGCGAAATTGAAGATCCCTCTAACAAGTCCTGAAAGGGAGAGCGTTGACCATTCGGCCAGCTTTTGGTTCTTTCTTTTACAAGTAAAATGTATACTATCAAATGCTATACTTTTAGTGTAATATACAGATGAATTATACACGTACAAGAGTACTCTGCAAATATAGTGCAATGAAGTAAATTTGTATCTTCAAGTTTTATAGAGATGTATCTAGACTAAATGCTAGCTACCTAGTTGGTTTTGTCTGTTGTATTCAAGATTTAGGATTAAATTTCATTGTATTATTTGTTGTTTGTGACTTTACGCACACACATACTGAACCAATTCTTTTGTGTGAAATTAATACTCCCCATGTTCCAGAATAACCGACATACTTAAATTTTGCATACATGTCGATGCACTATTTTGACTTATTTTTACATAAGTAAATGCCAATGAAAATTATATATATATATATATATATATATATATATATATATATAAAAGTTATATTATGAAACTTTATATTAGTACCTATCTAGCAACATAATTTATAATAAAATATGTTGTTATTATGTTAATAATAATAACTTATATATTAGAATTTTTTTTTGAAAGTTTAATGTTTTTAACTTTATGTATTAAAAATAATAAAAATACAAGTATATTTCAAACCAAATGTAATTAAGAAACCCAACAAAAAAATATAAAAGTGACTAGATTTTAGATTAGTAAAGGTATGTTTTGTTCATTTTATTTTCATTAATATCAGAGCTCATAAATTCAGATTAGTTCAGAAAAATTTAGGTAAGATAAGTCGAGGAAAAATAAGTCTTGATACTTCCTTTGTGATTTTTTAAGTGAAATGTTTTGGCTTTTTGCACTATTTACTACATTATCCACTTTGGATGATGTTAGTGATTTATTGCGTAGTAGTTGGAATCATTTCGATTATTAATATTCAATTGTTTTAATTTTAATTTATTGTTAATCAAAGATATTATTGGTCAAAGTTCTACATCGACATACTCACATACGTGCACAGGAGAATTATTGTTTCACGTAAAAAAATATGGAGGGAGTCTAGGTTAGTAAGAGTTATCCAAGTACATATTACAACTACGATAAATTTTATTAAGGTGTATTAATTTAAGTCTAGATAAGTTATGTTAGGTTGACTTAAATGAAAATTAGGTGAATAAAACATAGTACCCTAAGGCCTTGTTCTTTTGAGCTTCTAGGCAGAGAAGCCCGTAGACCTGGCAATCTTGACCCAGACCCGAAGACCCGACCCATGACCCGAAATCGACCTGAAAACAGTAACCCGAAATTGACCCGAAATCCGAAATCAACCCGACTCGACCCATACCCGACCCAAATGACCCGACTCGAAGTTGACCCGATACCCGAAGTGACCGGACTCGAAGTTGACCCGATACCCGAATTGACCCGACCTTAATTTAACTTGAATTAATTGACCTTAATAGACCCGAAACCCGAAGTGACTAGAACTAAAATTACCTTATACTTGAAATGCAGAATCAATTTAAGCCAAAGACTTGACCCGAGCAAACCGAAACAGAAAATAACCGCAATCAAACTGACTTATTTTTTTTTTTATTATTTTAATTTGTAATGTGTAACAGTGTAAGTAATTTACATATTTTGAGTGTTACTTTTCTCGACTTCTTCGGCTTTTTCTCTATTGAGTTATAAGTTATTAAAATTCGTAAAAACATTGAAAATTAACGTCTATTCTACGGAGTTTGTCCATAAGATTAAGAAAAAATTTACTAAAGCTTGAAATAAAAGTCACAATTCTCACAAGTCAGGAAAAAAAATAGTACAATAATAATGCGTACATAACATAATGTTCAATACCAAATGAAATAACAAGGTCTGATAGGCAAAGATAGCTACCGACCCGAATATGACCGACCCGAAATTTGGACCCGAAAATTGATCTGACTCGAACTCAACCCGACCCGACCCGACCCAATTATCCGTTGACCCGAAATCAATCCGAAACCCGAAATGACCCGACCCGAACTTGACCCGATAACTTATTGACCCGAACCGAAATGACCCGACCCATACCCGTCCCGAATGACCCATTTGCCAGAGTAGAGCAGAGCAGATTTCAGTAGAGCAGAGCAAAGCAAAACAACTCAAAAGAATATGGCATAGCTAATTCATTTCAAATGGAGGAAAATAGGGGATATGTAAAGCTAAAAATCACGTGCGTGGACTTAAGTATCCAAATACGCTGCAGTTTATATACTATGATTAATCATTTTTATGGACAATAATTGAGTAACTACGGTGTTATGTATCTTAGCTTCTTCAGTACACTTTCTGATTTTCTCTTGTATAAAGCTTCTTCTAAGTATATAGAATAGTCATAAGCTAGTTGGAAAAATGAGTACAATGAATCTATTTGTGATGGCTTCGATGCCAATCTTGAAGGTGCTTTTGATAACTGCCATTGGTTCATTTCTTGCGTTAGATCGTGTTAATATACTTGGCGAGAATGCTCGAAAGCATTTAAACAAAGTAAGTACTTCGTATACACTTAAAGATCATATCATATAATATCGTTTATTATTCGTCTTTCAATTTAAGGAATGATATTCATGTGTTTTGTAACTCATGTTGATCCATGGAGTTTTGAGTTATTATGACTTGTTTGTGGTGTGTTTAGGTTGTGTTTTTCGTATTTGGTCCGGCGCTTGTAGCTAGTAACTTGGCAAAGGCCGTCACCTTTGAAACCTTTCTCACTTTGTGAGTTTCTAAGCATCTCTCCTTATCTCCATTAGCTATTATCTCTATTTGATTGATTGACTCTGTACGTAATAGTTAATATATAGCCGTTGTTACACTTGTGTTTTTACTGTCTTTGATGTACAACTTTGATTATAATTGCATATTCTCTCCATATTAATTAGACCCTACATGATAATACGGGTGACAAACTTCAGCCTAAAATTTCAATATTTGACCTCATAAAGTCATATTCCAAACGAATGACCACTTTAGTAATTTTTTGTCTAATTAATTTTTTTTATTTGCATAGTTAATTACGGTTGTTTTTGTTTGTACAACTATAGGTGGTTTATGCCAATAAACATCTTCATTACATATCTAATTGGTTCAATTACTTGGGTGGATACTTGCCAAAGTTACAAAAGCTCCAAAGCATTTCAAAGGCCTAATAATAGGATCATGTTCTGCAGGTAAATCTTTACGTATACGTGTAGAATTGAAAATTGTACATATATCTAACAGATGATCATGAGATTAATGTATGCATAACATGCTCGTTTGTTGTGGGTAAACTAAGTTTTTCCGATTGCGGTGTTCTAATAGGGAGTTTGGGGAAACTGCCCATCATAATTGTCCCAGCAATGTGTAACGAGAAAGGCAGTCCCTTTGGTGCAGTTGATGTTTGCCATTCTTATGCTATGGCTTACGCTTCACTTTCAATGGCGGTATGATTATTAAACCCTACAGGCCAGCAATACTGTTGTTTGGAATTTGATCAAATTTACCATAATATCATTCGTCCTTGTACCAATATACAGGCTCACAATGTCATAATATTAGTATCATAAAACGTTGGAGTTAATGAGAGATTTTGGGACGATATGACAAGTATTAATAAATGGAGAGAGTACCATACTATGTAACTAGTGATTATGTTTACGAGTACTTATGTGGTTCTGTGGTTGAATTTCAGTTAAATGGTATATTTATCTGGTCGTACACATACAATATCATCCGGATATCATCAAAGGAGATTGTAGAAGAAGTAGATCAAACATCACCAAACAGAGAACCTCTGCTTCCATCACAGAACAGCCAGGTTAAATTAGAGCTTCACACCCTTAATTAATTAATTTTCTTGGAACATCCCTAATTTTGACATTTTCGTGTTTAATGGTATATATGTTGACGTGCAGACTCCATTATCATCTAAATTACAACAATTCTTAACTACATTCCCAAGAAAGATCAATTTCAAGGCATTTTTGGCACCTTCTGCTATAGGAGTGGTATTACTTAAACCCCTCAATTTTATGTTTTATCCAAAATCTAAACTCGAGTTTAAATTGGTGTGACGTAGTAGTCCCAAGCCAAGCTTCCCTAAACTCGAGTTTGGCTTGACTCATTAGTCAATCAACTACATTTTGATTTTCTTACAGATAATTGGATTTATGATTGGAATGATTTCACCACTGCGAAATCTGCTGATTGGTAATGATGCTCCTCTCCATGTTGTACAAGATTCAGCTTATATGCTTGGGTATAGACTTTAACCAATTAACGCTTTCAACTTTGCTAATTGCGTGCGTACGAGTAATTTTTAAACAAAATGATTAATTTACACATAACAATTCCATAATGCAGAGATGCCGCCATTCCAGCCATCACATTGATTCTAGGAGCAAATCTTCTACCAGGTAAGGTACTTAATATAACTCCGGTTTTAACAACCAAAAAGGCATTATATTCTATTAATTCACACAATTAAGTTAATGCTTTTCTTCAGGTCTAAAGGGATCTCAAATACAAGTTAGAACTATTATATGCATAGCAGTTGTTCGCTACATACTGCTTCCTCTGCTAGGCCTTGTTATAGTCAGGGGCGCGGTTCATGTTGGTATTCTACACGTCGATCCCTTATTTCAATTCATTCTGCTGCTTCAATATGCCCTCCCGCCTGCTATGAGCATAAGTACGTACCTTCACTATAGCATTTTATCTACACTATATGTAAAATTATTTAGGTGGTCATAAATGATTATTTAAGTGCATGAACGAACATAAGTGATAAATGTAACCATCAATTTTTTTTAAAGGACCGTTTAAAAGCTTGATGGTCCTCAACTACCCAATAATTTAGCGTGATTCAATTTGTCATATGTTATAATTAGTCGTGTCCTGTGATATTTGCAGGGACAATGACTCAGGTGTTTGGAAGTGGCCAAAGTGAATACTCGGTAATTTTGTTGTGGACATATGGTCTAGCAGCGGTTTCACTTACTCTTTGGTCCACGTTCTTTTTATGGCTTGTGGTTTCTTAATTCCGTATTTCTGTTCAATAGTCACTATATATTGTATTCCTACAATCCTACTCCATAAAATTGTGTACGGTCATGAACTAAATTATTATTGAATGTGTGAGTGTTATCTATGCCAATGTTGTTGGATTAGTTTCAATGTACATAATATTTCGTAACTTTCGCAATTAAAAAATATCATTGGGCAAGGTTGCTTTGACATTCTAAATAGGAAGTATAAAATGTTAGTGGGACATCTAAAGGAATGGAGTTTTTTGTCTTCCCCTTCCTACTTCCTACTTCCTAACCCTACTACATTCTATGGTACTACGTATATTTTAACTTCTGTGTACATAGACAAACTGTAGCGTCTGATTAGTCCTTTTTTTTTTTTTTTTTTTTTGACAATCAGAAGAAGAGATTTTATTGGATATTATCCTTGTCACCAAGGATAGTAGGCAAAACATCAGGAGTACAATTCTCCATTAAGACTCGTAACTCACTGTGGTCCAAAGAGGACTTAGCAATGAGATGAGCAGCCTTGTTACATATTCTAGGACAAAAAGCAAAACTACAATACTCAAAAATACTAGTCAGACTTATAGCATCAAGGACAGTAAGTTGGGCTGCAGATTTCTCTCGTACACTTCCTTGGAGCATCTTCACAAGCTGAAGGCAATCAGATTCCACCTCTAACCTTCTCAGACCAGCATCATACGCCAGAGTGAGACCAAACATAATAGCCTGAGCTTCAGCTTCTAATGGGGAGCACTCAATAGAGATACCCATACTTGCAGTCATCATGATATCCCTAACATCATCTCTGACGATCATCCCAACTCCAATCATATACCACTTTAGGGATCCTTATCTTTGCAATAGCTGCCACTTCAAACTCAGAGAGTAAATCTCTGAGGTCTTGAACTTGATGTAATTCTGTTTCCAGGGAGCAGGGGTATCCATTTGTCACCCCACAAGCGGACACTGCTCCCATTGCCAATAAGCCATCTTGAACCCTCAATAATCAGATCCCTTGCAGAGACAATAGAGCGCCAGGTGTAGCTTGCGTATGGGGATATTTTTGCATCCCAAAGTGTTTGAGCGCTGAAAGTATTTCCCTTTCAGAACCCGTGCTGCAAGAGAGTCTGGATTAGTGGCAATTCTCCAAAATTGTTTAGCAAGAAGGGCACTATTAAAAGATCTAAGGTCCCTAAAGCCAATCCCACCTTCCTTCTTAGATTTACAGCTCCCAAGATATCAGGGCCAATTTTCGCTCACTGCCTTTCTGACCCCACCAGAAATTCCTTCATAATGAAGTGATGTTTGCAAGGACAGATTCCGGAAGCTTGAAACATTGCATGGCGTACGTGGGTATTGCTTGTGCTATGGATTTTAGCAGCACCTCTCTACCAGCTCTGGATAAATATCTATTTCTCTTTCCACCCTTTCACCTTCTTCCATACACGGTCTTGAATAGCCTGAAAAACAGTTTTCTTGGATCTCCCAAGGTAAGTGGGGAGACCAAGGTACTTCTCGTGTCCTTCGACTCTCGTAAAGTTCAACTTAAACTGAAGAATTTCCTGCAAATTTGCACTAACATTACGACTGAAGGATACTTCCGATTTTTCAAGGTTAATTTTTTGACCCGAAGCTAGCTCATAGGTGGACAAGATATCAATAATCGCCTTTGCATCAGACTCACTGGCTCTTGTAAATAAGAGACTATCGTCTGCAAAAAAATAGATGTGAGATAGTAGGCACATATCTTCCCAGCTGCACTTCCTAGCTTCTGCATTACGAAGAAGGGCAGAGAACCCCTCAGCGCAAATCAAGAAGAGGAACGGTGAAATTGGATCTCTTTGGCGGAGACCTCTAGTAGGAACAAATCTGCCAGACGGAAAGCCATTGACCAGTAGGGAATAAGACACAGACGATAGGCATCGCATTATAAGGGCAACAAAATTCACATCAAACCCCAATTTCATCATCATCCCCTCAATAAAATTCCACTCCACCCTATAGTATGCCTTGCTCATATCGAGCTTTAAGGTCATATACCCTTTTATTCCACTTTTCGTTTTTTTCTCAAGTAGTGGAACAATTCATAAGCAACGAGGACATTGTCAGTTATACGCCTACCACTCTACCAGGGACAAAGGCGCTTTGAGGTTCACTAATCACACCTAGGGCTGGAAAAAGCTGACCCGACTCGACAGCCCGACCCGAACCCACCCGAAATAAATGGGTTTTGACAGAGAATTTCAACCCGTTTATGTAATTGGGTCAACCCGAACCCAACCTGAAGTTAAACAGGTCGGGTTCAGGTTGGAAATCCCAACCTGAAACCAACCCGCCTAAACCCATTTATTTAATTGGGTCGGTTTCAGGTCGGGTCAACCCGAACCCAACCCGCCTAAACCTGTTTACCACTCTGTTTTTACAACCTAATTTTTAAATATGGGCCAATTAAGCCCAAACTATCTAATGAAAAACCCTAAAAAAAAAATCATACCTCACGCCGCTTTTCATTCAATATTTACTCATTCTCTTTCTCTCTCCTCTCTCTTCTCTAGTTCTCTCTCTTTACCCTCTTGTTTTTAATTCTTTTCCATTAAAATTGTTGATTGAAGCTTAGCTTGCTGAATATTCATATCAACATTCCCAAGGTCATTTACTTGTTAATTTCATTCTCTTTACTTAATTTTTTTGTGTTTTGATACGTTTTTTTCGTCAATTTCAGCAATTTACATGTTATTATGCGTTTTGTTTCTTCTATTTCAATAATTTACTTGTTTTAATCTGATTAAAGTTTGTTTGTTTATGGGTTTATTTGTTTATGCTATTTTTTCATCACTTTGATTATGCGATTTTATTTGATTTTTTATCATCTATTTATGCGATTTACTTTGATTTTTTATGAGTTTATGAGAATATTTCAGCTTGTTCATGAGTTGATTTTTTCATCATGAGTTGGAAGCTTGGAATGGTGTGAATGTTGTTAACTAATTTTTTGCATTTTTTGTGATTTCTCTCTGCATTTGGCTTAATTATTTATTTAATTTATTTTTAATCAACCGATTGTTGACAACCTCATTCCTTCTGAACCCATTGAACATGCGAATCCGAATAAGATGATAAAGATACTGAATTATGTCGAACGCAGCAGCACCTGTTTTGATTTTATTGCCTAATTATTTATTATTTATTTGATAATACCCAGCCAGTTTATCATATTTAATTTTATTGTTGTAGGATTGTATGAAGTGTAATGGAATTATAATGGATTTATGTTTGCTTTGAATTTGTATTTTATGTTATTTGAATGATACATGTATAAATACATGTTAAACAAATTACAAGGGTATTTTTAAAATAAAATAAAAAAACAGGTTTAGAGGGGTCGGGTTCAGGTCGACCCGTTTAAAACCAGGTCGGGTTCAGGTTGATTTATTTAACCTGTTTAAGTAAATAGGTCGGGTTCAGGTTGGGGGGTCCTAACCTGTTTATGTAAACAGGTCGACCTGAACCCGACCCGACCCGACCTGTTTGTCAGCCCTAATCACACCCGGGAGCGTGAAAATACTTTTACATGCTAAAAAAAATCTTTAAATGAGAAAATTAACGTGATACCATCATTTAATAATTCTAAAAAAAAAGAAAAGAGATACTATGTGCTTCATTTAAACTAGGGCGTATGCACCATAGCTGGCTATATTTGGGAGCTCTCTTGGTTTGGCCTTATGCCATAAATTTAGTTTTCGACAGTTTATTAATGAGAAAAAATATATATAAATAAATATTTTTTAGGGTATAAATGTCCGCAAATTATTGATAAGACTTAAAAAAAAATATACATTAACATTAATGAGGTCAAATACGTAAACAAACATTTTTAGGAAAAATATCTCTAAAAATGTATTTATCTCTAATATCCCTAAAAACATTTTTAGGAAAAGTATCCCTATAAACTTTTATATCCCTAAAAATATTTATATACCTATTTCCCCTCGGTGATGTTTTTCCTAAAAATATCCATAAAAACATTTATACCCAAGCGCGTTTTTTGTGTGGCTGGCCACACCGTGTGGCCGAGGCTACTCGGTTGGCCAGCGGTCGGCCAAGGGTTATTTGGTCAGGGTTACTTGGTTAGTGATTACTTGGTCGGTCAGAGGTTACTTGATCGGTCAGGGGTTACTCGATCATTCAGGGGTACGGTTATATATCCCTAATAAGTAACCCCGGTCATACGGTGTGGCTAACCACATATAAAACTTTGTATATATAATAATTATTATTATTATTTGATTTAATTCGAAATAATCACATTAAATTTTACTAAAAAGTTGAGGTGAAAACGACCTTAAACATAGAAAATTTTGACTTTTACCACTTCTAAAAAATCATTATTTATTGGCTTTTACCACCTACATAAAAAAAAAGTTTTATTTTACCACCACATAAAAAAAATAAAAGTTGGCTTTTACCACCAATCACCTCCAATTGACGGATTCCATCCATAAATCCGTTAGTGGGGCCTACCAGGCTACCATGTACACGTGTCACTTTATTATTGGGTAAATTTTAAAAAAAATAAAAAAACTTTAAAAAATTAAATAATGTAAAATAAAATAAAAACGCAACCACCAACCAGCTCCCAGCCACTGCCGGGTCGGCTACCAGCCCCACCACCAACTCGACACACAACAACTACCGCGCCGCACAATGCACAAGCCAGAACCACGGATTCCGACCCCATTTCCACCAATTTGCAACCTTAAAACCCTAGCCATCGAATTTTGACCACCCATAAAGCCCCCTCCTACCGAATTCCAACCATTCCTAAAACCCTAGCCACCACCAAATTTCGCACTCCTAAAACCCTAGCCACCACCTAAGCTAATTCCGACCTCCTCCTTAGCCAACACTAAATTCTGACCTCTCCCTAGCCCCACCCGAAATTCTGACCAACCGAGGTGAGTTGATTTCGTTGCCGGCTGGTTGACATGGAAGATTGGGGGAGATGAAGAAGAAACGTCAAAAGGTGGGCCCTACTAACGGATTCATGGACGGAATCCGTTAGTTGGTGGTGAAATCCAATTTTCGGAAATTTTGTTGGTGGTAAAATAAAACTTTTTTTTATTTAGGTGATAAAAGTCAATAAATGGTTTTTTGAAGGTGGTAAAAGTCAAAATTTCCTTTAACATATTTTAAAATAACCCATGCCAACAATTGTACAATTATCAATATAAATTCATCATCATCATAAGCTAAATAATCGAAGTAAAAATAAACTACGTACAACAGTACAAATGCAACCCCACCGTGCATAAGTAATGGAAAATTATAACAGTAAAATAACTTCCTCCAATACATTTTAAAGCTTTTGAGATGTAGCTTCAATGTCTCACCAGTCGGGCGAATATTTAGCTATACAAAAGGAACGTGTAACTGTAAACAATCGGGCGACTGTTTATCTGCATGCTTTTATGTAAATTATAAAAGCAATAATTTTACCTGAACAAAGAAAATCAAACTATTATTAATTAGCCATTCATATCATAGACTTTTAAGACTTTAAAACAATTAAATTATTACAAATTAAAGGGAGCGAAGAAAGAATTTAATTTGTTGATTTCACAAAAGTTGGGGGAAAAAAGGAAGATAAAATGGGATTAATAGATTTGTTTGTGGTAGCATCATTACCGGTTGTGAAGGTTCTATTAATCACTGCCCTAGGCTTGTTTCTTGCTTTGGACCGTGTTGATATCTTGGGTGAAAATGCTCGACATCACTTAAACAAGGTTGGTATTGCCTATTGGTTCATTTATTTTTGTTATAGCTAGATTTTCAATTTTTGAAAAAACGAAGATTTATTCAAGGAAATGTTTCATTTCAACAAACGATCGAATAACATTATTATTATGCTGCTGACAATTGTTAAAATATCACTCAGGTTAAATTTGGCTAGTTTTGATGGTTTTTAGGTTGTGTTTTACGTTTTCAACCCGTCCTAGTTGCCAGTAACTTGGCTAAAACCGTCACTCTTAAAAAGTTTCTTACCTTGTAAGTTTTTATTTTTATCCCAAGTTTACGATTCGTTTAAACATAAATGATTTGTTTTAGATTTCTTAGGATTTATTTATTTATTTACTACTCCGTAGTAATTATTTATTTTTGATGTAGGTGGTTTATGCCAGTGAACGTATTGATAACGTTTATTATACATGATTCAATTCCACTTTATTTTTGGGATAACTAGTTTAAACAAGTCATATAAGTTCAATTTACAAAGTTCAATAATTAAATTCAAGTTTTGATGAGAACATATATAAGTGAAAATAAGGTAGATTGAACACACTAAGCTAGCCATTTCGGTCTAATCTCATCTCAATATGCATGAAATTTGATAAATTTGTATCAAATTCAATATACATGAAATTTGATCTAGCTAGAGAAAAAATGAATAATTGTGTAACGGAGAAAGTAGTGTTTTGGTTATTATATTGACAATAGCTGATTGAATTTCCTAATACAATTTCAGTTAGGGGCGGTATACTTGTGGTTGTATGTATACAACGTTGTACGAGTCACGGCTTGTGAGGTGGCGGGAGAAACTGATACAAATTATGAAGCCCTTCTTCCTTCCACCACTGATATAAGCTCTTCATCGGTGAAGTTCTTGCATTGTTACTTAAATGGTATTCTTCTTATTTATTTTTGCATTAGTAACTTGGATTTTTTTTTCTTTTTTATTTTATTTTTGGTGAAATGTAATTTGTGAATTTGATTGACTATATTTCGAATAAACTTGGACAGATTTCTTTTACAGGCAGGTTAAAACAATACGTCAGAATTCTGTTACAAAAGATCAATGCCAAAGCAATATTCGCAGCATCAACTATTGCAGTGGTACCCTCTTAACACTTTAATTTTTGTTACAACTTGGTCTCATTTATATTTTCGGTTTTGATTTATATATGCAACCTGGCCTACCCTTAAACCCCATTTGGTGTACTTAAACTTGGTCCTTTGAAGATTAATCATTATATTTGTATTTAGCCTTTATCAATTCATTTATCATATGATCCAAAAATTGTCATATATAGCAAATTGGTAAGGCAAACCATAAATCTATTAACTTGTAGTATTGAATGTAAGTACTTGGGTTTGCCATCGGAATGATGTCTCCAATCAGATATTTGATGATTGACGACAATGATGCTCCACTCCACGTTATCATGGACTCGGCTTTATTACTTGGGTATGCCATTTCCAAATTATATGCTAATAAAGGGGTCGATATTAGCGAGAATTGTAATTAGATTGTTTAAGTCGTACATCACACAGGTACTAACCTAGTTCAATTCATAATATATAGAGATGCAGCTATCCCTACGGTTACCCTAATACTTGGAGCCAATCTCCTACAAGGTTATCTCTTTTGCCTTCCAATCTTTTAAATCGTACAATCTACAATCAATATAACCCGGCCAATATACAAATTACGAAGTATAGGACTTGATTTTTTTCAATGTATTTTGTTTATTTTGTTGTCAGGTTTAAAGGATTCGAGTATTCAACCTAGAGTTGTTATTAGGATAGTTGTATCTCGTTACATAATTCTTCCTCTGCTGGGCATTCTTATTGTTAAGGGTGCGATCCAAGTTGGTTTTGTTCCATTCAACAATATATTATTTGTGTTTGTTCTTTTAGTTCAATATACCCTGCCACCACCAATTAATTTAGGTACGTACTTTTATACTACGTATATATTTCTCACTTAGTACCCCTTCATGTTTATTTTAATTTTTAGGTTTATTAATTTACACAACTTTAACTATTAATGATATATATATAATTATAAGTAAAAAATTACGTTTTATAAATAAAGTTGATACATGTTTTTTTTAAAAAAAAAAAAAAGTTGATACATGGATAATATACATTGAGAAAGATCATATATTCATATGAAGTACTATTTGAATATTATCATTTATTTTATATACAAAATATAATCAAAATAAATATACAGAGTATGTATGAATGACGTTAAAAGTCCCGAAGCAATTTAAAAAATTATATAATAACGGAGTAGTGATAGAGTATATACACTGATCCTGAGCTTCAAGTCTTCAACCATCAACTTAAGTTTTTGGTTGAGATGGTCTTCTAACATGCTATCAAGAGCTAGCGTGACACATATATTACGGGTTCAAATCTCATCCACCCTTCATTTTAAAGTGGAATATTAAATACTAGGTATGGTGGGCTCATACTAACCGATTATTAGTTTCAACCATCAACTTTAAATTTTAGTTGAGTTGGTCATCAAACAAGCAGAAACGTAACATTACCATAAATTATAATCAAACAATGCTTGCTTTTATATATTCTGATGTTTATCTTACCCGATGATTATGCTAGGAACGATGATGCAATTATTTGGAGCTGGCCAGAGTGAGTGTTCAGTAATTATGTTATGGACTTATTCTTTGGCATCTGTTTCTCTCACCCTCTGGTCCACATTATTTCTATGGATTGTCACTTGATTATATTCATACCTTGTAAGTTTCTACCAATCCGAAAAAAACTGATTTTTTTAATTGTTAAGAAATTTGTCCCATACTAACTTTGAATTTTTTCTCCTCGTTCATACGATGTGACATATATGGTACACAAAGTTAGTTTTAGGCTAAATCGGCCTCAAACCAACAAGATCAACGTCCAAATATGGATCAGAAATTTCTATAATTTTTTTTTAATTTTTTTTCGACATTGATTAGCCATTAGTTGATTTTGTATTACAAGGCAGAAATCAAGAAACGTGCATACTCCATTTAATTTTGTGAAGGACATCGATGATCGATCTAAAAGATGCAAATTTAATTTTGTGACAAATAAACTTTGATAGCCTACTTGGTTAGTGTATTTTTTAGATCGGAAACGGATTCGATTAAACTGATACTGTTATCGAGTGTTTGGTTAGAAGGTTTGGTAACTATTACCATTACCTAGGAGTAATGGTTACCTCTCATTTGTTACCACTAAAAAATGTAGGATAACAAATACCCTTACCCTCCTCAAAGTCTCAAACACAAATAAAGAGAGTAAAGTTTAACTAATTTCTTTCCATAGTTAAACCAAACAAATAAAAAGGTAATAGTTAAATGATTCCTCCCCCCTCTCTTATTTGTTTTCTTTCCATTCCGTTTTCATTATCCGAACCAAACGTCCCCTATACCCGAAGATGGAAGAATAGGCTTTGCCAACATTTAGTTCACGAAGTTCCGGAACTCTACTCTAGTAGTCACTAGACTCACTATACTAAACTCTAAAAAAAGCCTGATAGTTTCAGGGTGATGAAACAGTGGCAGTGTGGCTCCATTTGAATGAATTTGGGAGGCATATGTACTTTGGGAGATGAGTGAAATTTCTAGGAAATTATTTGAGTGATGTTTTTATTTTTGGACTTGTAACTTGTATTTTTTTTGTCCCTTATTTTTGTCCCATTTGACTTTTTACGGTTTTCAAGACACATTTTGAAATGTATATATCTCCATTTTTATACACACAAAAATTATTAATTAAAACTTGATATTAATAAAATATATAATGATACGATTCCAATAAAACCCCACATGAATATATTATCATTTATAGATTAACAAGACTTTAGGGTCAAACTTTTAAAAGTTTGAACCAAAATTATGCAATAAGACAAAAAATAAGGGACGGAGGGAGTAACAACTAACAAGGTAGTACTGAGATAATTTTAAGATACTCTTCACTCTAAGTTTGAATAAGAATGAGACAAGCTTGTCATTTTAATGTACATTTTTTTTTTTTTTTTGAAAGCAAGCTAGGAGGGAATTATATCAAATCAAGCCTCGCCAAAATTATGATACTTTGGGGGAAATCGGACATACAAACACGCTCAATCAAGCACGAAGTTTACCATCTAACAACACTATGGGCAACAATATTGCCTCCACGCTTAACATGAAATTAAAAGATCTACTGTCATTAACTCATTTTAATGTACACATATATCGAATTTGTACAGAATGATAATCTTTGATAGCAAAAGGAGTTTCTGGATATAAGATTTTTAATGATACACATGTTAATTACATGTTCAAAACTTCAAACCTTTGTAAGAACTTTTTGTTTATCACGCGTCTCCATATGATGTGATATTACTCGTACTTGTATTCGCCACTTAACCAGCTCTACTCCCAACAAAACAAATATACTCCTCCGGCTTCATTTGGACTGCATGTTTGCAATATAATATTTTGACCATAAATATTGTTAGTTGCTTACTAATAAAAAATATAACACTTGAATATTAATAATCTATTCATTGAGACGAATTAAAATAAAACTCAATATGACTATATTATGTTTTGTATATTAAGAGAAATTTAAAAAATTCTCCCACCTGATTAATAGCGTCACAATTACAAATAGAAAAATCAAATGGAGATGGCGGGAGTAGTAGTCTCGAACATAATTACCTGTAAACTTAATTCTGCTATCTATACGTTAGCATTGTTCAAACTTCGTGTAAAGTAATGAGCACAAATTTCAGTAATGCAGAATACAAGGAAAGCAATCAAAACTCCACAAATTCTGTAATCTTTTAGACTCAATCACATAGGATTCACATGTCTAATCTTAGTTGTCATTCTCAATATCTCTTCTCTTCTCCCTTATTATTCTCCATTCTCTCCTTCTCCAAATTCAAGAGAAAAATCAAAGGGAAAAATTATTAATCCCCCCCCAAAAAATGGGTTTTATACATCTATTAGTAGTAGCATCACTACCAGTTGCGAAAGTGCTATTGGTAACAGCCGTAGGAATGTTTCTAGCATTAGAGCGTATTGATTTATTGGGTGAAAATGCTCGCAATCATTTAAACAAGATTGTGTTTTATGTTTTCAGCCCTTCTCTTATCGCGGCTAACTTGGCTAAAACCGTCACCTTTCAAAGTTTTCTTAGTTTGTAAGTTGAATTTAATACGGAGTAATTTTTTATAAATATTAAATATTTGTATTAAATTTATTGTTTTTAATTAATTAATTATTATTTTGATTATAGGTGGTTTATGCCAATAAACATATTGGTTGCGTTTATAATAGGGGCTATATTAGGATGGTTACTTGTTAAAATTACAAGACCACCTAAGCATCTCAAGGGACTCATAATTGGAACTTGTTCTGCTGGTAATTTATCTTTTTCTTCTTCCATTTTTTTTAATTATATTCTCAGTAATTATAATTTGGATCGTGGAATTATTGGTGGTTAAGTCTGGCTTTAACATTTAATTTTCTTAATGTGTCCTTGTTTTCCTGGTGTTTTCACTTTATATTGTGCTTTATTCTTAACTAGTTTTCTGGCTCGTGTAATGCATGGATTGTTTATAGGTATACAATGCACAAATTGTTTATAGGTAGTAATATGTTTTTATTGGAAAATGAATAGTTTACTAAAGGAGAAGAAGGAGTAAAAATTGAATGTAGTTGTAGAATATATTAAGTTAGGGGAAAGTGAACCAAACAACATTATTCATACATGTATTGAATTAAAGGTAGGGTTTATTTTATTTTATTTTTATTATTAAAAAATAAGAAAGGGGATTAAAAAAAGAAAGGTTAAATGAGCTGACATGTGTCATTGGTTAAAAATAAAGTTTACATGTCGTGGCATGATGAGTATGATGATTTGTGTTTTTAAATGCTAAAGTATAGATTTATGTGGACTTGTTATTGATTTTTTTTTTAAACAGTTGTCTAAAGTTGTTTGTAACTTTCTTTTAAAAAAAGTTCTTTGTAACTGCAAATGAGAGGAAAGGTTTTTTTTTTTTTTTTTTTTTTTTTGTTTTTGTGGTGAAATGGAAAAGTTAGTATACTAGATTACCCCCGGGCGATGCACGATTTTAATAAAAAAATTATAGTATAGAACTTGTATATACAATGAATCTTTTCAATTTTGTATTAAATTTATTGGAAGGAGATTTCTTAAAATAAATACAATTTGAATATTTTAGGAATTTTTTAGACATTTGAATATTAGTGTTAAAGAATGGAGGAGAGAGAATGATATATCTTTAAATCAAAAGAAAGGAATACATTTGCTATTCAATTTACTATACTTCTGTTTTCTAGATTAAAGATCTTGAAACTTAATTAGCTTGTTTACGAAGTATCACACAAAAGAAAAAAAAAACTATCACAAAAAAATGACATCATCAATGGTTTTAGGCGGGAAAAAATTTCATAAGAAAGCGACACATATACAATTTTGAGGAGAGATGATGTCAACAATGTTTTGTTTTAGTAATAGTTAATAGATTATTTAATTTGCTTTTGGTTGAAAGAAAAAATTTAATGATAGAGCAAAAATGGTTGGACCAAAAATAATGGGTGTGAATTGTGATACTTGTGAGAATAAATGTGTGGTTCTTACATTAGGCTGTTAAAAACTAAGGAGAATCTAATGATTTGGCTTGATTTGAAAATCGATCTGGTGATCTTATCCAAAATTCCAAATGATCAACCCTAACCCAATGTTTTTGGGTTTGGGTTAACATTATTTTATTTAATTTATTTTTGGCTTTTTAACAGAAATATACTTTTTCTGTTTTTTTAGTTAACAACTTTTGACTTATGCACTATTTACAAACTACTCTTTGACTAGCTTTTGTGATTTATAGCTACGATAAAATATAGTCATGCGGATTTTGTTTAAATTGCCTCAATGTATATTTTATTAAATCCACTTTTTATAATTTTACAATGTCGATAATTAGAGATATTAACCATTAAAATAGTGCACTATGACAAGCATGATAATAGAAAAATGTCATGCTTGCCATAGTGATTTTACAATTGTCAATGTATATTTTATTAAATTCACTTTTTATAACTTTACAATATCGATAATTAGAGATATTAACCATTAAAATAGTGCACTATGGCAAGCATGATAATAGAAAAATATCAACTAAAAAAACTAAGGAAGTATGATTTTTCAAGCTTTTTTGCGTTTTATTTTTCATTTTGTTATTCGAACATATTCTCCAATATAATATTTAGCCATTACATTTCTACTTCATAATTTAAATTGTTACCAATATGAAAATAAAATAAAAAAAGAAAACTTGTAAAGATTACAAAATTAAAGAAAAAGGCCAACATTAAATGATTAAATATATGGAGAATAATATCTAAATATCACTTAATTTTCTTTTCAAAATCTTATATTTGACAATAGTAATACTTAAGTCTATATAACCCTTTTGATTATCTCTCCTTTACTTAATGTTACATCATCTTCACTGACTATCTTTGTAATATATACTCCGAATTATGCAAAGTTTATCGATGCAATTCAATACATCTCATTTTTAACTTACAAAATAATGATATAGTGTACAAAATGTTGGCTATATATATAGAACTCAAAGTAAACATCTTCTAACAGTGGTCGGTGGTGGTTGGTGGCGCAGTATGGGTTATGCGGATGCAATTGGTGCGGGTCTATAGGTTGGTTTTAATCCGAGAGAAAGATAGACGAGAGAGAAATGAATGTCAAATGGTGGATAGATGATCAAACTCATCAATCAAAAAACAAGTTTTCATTTATTAATAAATGTATTTTTTTTTTTAAAAAAAAAAAAAAAACTTCAAAAAAATGGGTTGGCGGGGCAGGTTGAGTTTCATCCGTAAATTTACAAGTTAAACGGATTTGGGAACTCATAGCCTTATTAATCCAAATACATTTGATTTGTTTTAAGCTAAAAAGAAAAAGAACATAGTTTTTTTCTTGTCATGTAACTAGAATTGAAGAGAGACAAAAGTGAAGTATTAAACTATCTTAAAGGTGTAATTAAGGCTTAGGCGCTACTTATCCAATAAAAGCGTAATACTTTTGCATATATTAATGTACTCCCTACATACATGTTTAAGATTATTTACACACTTGTCTCATTATAAATATCTTGCATATAAGAATGACACAAGTTTAATCATAAACAGGGAATATGGGAATCTTCCCTATCATTTTAATTCCTGCAATATGCAAGGAGAAGGGCAGTCCATTTGGAGCCATTGATGTTTGTGAGACGTATGCTCTATCCTATTCTTCGCTTTCCTTGGCGGTATGATTTCGAAATCCGATCATCTATTTGTTTTTCACTCATCAATCATGTTGTACAAAATTCTCCGAAACAAAAAACAATGCCATAAACTTAAGTCTTATATGATCAAACGGGTATACTAAGATAACCTGATTATTCATTTATCGCACCCACTTGCCATCCCTACATATATACAATAATACGACTCATAAGTAAGTTGTTAATATTTGATTAATGAATTGTTGTTATCAGATAGGGGCAGTATACATATGGTCACTTGTTTACAACATTGTGAGAATGTCTGCTGAGGAAATAGCAAGAGATAAAGAGGCAATTAATAGCTCAGGCATCCCCATTCAGGAACCCCTCCTTCCTTGCAGTGAAAATCATTGTCTCGCAGCTTCTCATCATCAGGTCATCATAAACTCTTCCTAGCTCTTGTAAAACTAATTACGTCCTCATTAGTATCAAAATACTTGCAACAATTTGACTTTAAATCATACACTATTTGAAAGTTTTTTTTTTTTTTAATACACTGATTATATATTTTGTATCACTGGCATTGACCACATTTTCTTACTAGCATATGAAAAATCAAATGTTGTTGTTGTGTAATACACTAATACATCATTAGGTTGGTTTTAGTGTATATTATTTTACAATGATATTTTTTTATTTACTAATCTATAACCGCATATGATCAAACTTATGCATTGACCTATTAAAAGGTGAGATTTTAAAATAGTTGAGTGTCCTTAAAGTTAGACAAATCTCAAGGTATTATTCTACTAATTTAATAACATTTGCTCGTTTTAATATATTCAAATGATCAAACAAGTTAACATTAAGATTTTTCTTGAGCAGGTTTCATTGTCAGTCAAGATAAACTACTGTATAAGAACTTTCTTAGGAAAGGCCAACCTCAAAGTAGTGTTCGCACCATCAACTATTGCAGCGGTATCCTCTAAACTCTAGCTCTTTATTTTGCCAATTTCAATCATAATATTCAATATTTCAATAAATACAAATTCTTAGGAAGTACCATTTAGTAGTAAAACTTTGTGCATTTCAATAGAAATTAATTAATTTTGAAGGAACACATTTTTCATAGTTATCCAATGTTTATATATACAAAAAAATTATTATAGTAATTTTATGTGCATTTCCTAGTACTACTATGAGTAGTATTTTGAAGTAATAATAGCGCCATTCTTGACATGATTTTAGATATTTGGTTTTGCAATTGGAATGATTTCTCCGATCCAAAAATTGATGATCGGCAATGAAGCTCCACTCCATGTTGTCACAGACTCGGCCTTCATGCTAGGGTACCCTTTACACTCTCTATCTCTCTTTCTCTCTCTCTTTTTTTTTTCTATAAAAAAGTTATGTTCATTCTATTACCAATTGCATTAAGAAAAATAAGTTCTAATAAGGTTTAATTTATAGTAAGATAAATTTATGAAACTAAATTATGCTAAGGGCTAAAAGGGTTAAATTTAAATCAAACATTTTGTTTAATAATAAGGCCTAACTAGTAAGTAAATTTCATATGAATAAAACGCACCTTTAGTTTTGTCATACATAATGCTCCATTGCTACCTCTCTCGGCTCATAACCCCCAGCAGACCCTATCACTATGGTGTTGTTTGTTTGATATGAGAATTTACTTCCCATGGGAATTTGTATTTCATGGGAATTAAATACCTACATCCAATTTCCAGGAATTGTCTAAACTTGTTTGGTTGAGATGAAGGAAGTTGACTTACCTAGGGGGGGTTAAGTAATTAACTTCCCATGTTTTGTGGGAAATCTCAATTCCCATATTTACACTTTTTATTATCAACCAAACAACTCATCCATTTTCAAATTCCCATGATTTTCTACTTCCACCATTTTCTTTGTGCAACCAAACAAGCCCTATAATTCTATAAAACAGGGGAAAACATCGTAACATTCAATCTAATCTATAACATGTATCCCAAATATACAGAGAAGCAGCCATTCCAGTTCTCACCATAATACTCGGAGCCAACCTCCTTCAAGGTATAATCTCATCTCCTTCCGATACAACCAATTAATCATACAAATTCAAACTTTGAATAACTTCCTAAATCTTCAATTCCAATCTTATGATGGTCAGGATTAAAGGGTACCGGCATTCAACTAAGAGTTATTCTTGGCATAGTTGTAACTCGCTACGTACTTCTTCCTCTATTCGGAATTCTCATTGTTAAGGGTGCACTCCAACTTCGTCTTGTTCCGTCCAACAATAAATTGTTCGTATTTCTTCTTCTTCTTCAATATTCCATGCCACCAGCAATAAACCTAGGTATGTAATAAACACCATTCTACTATCAATCTTGTTAATTATTTTTTACATGCCATTCTTCAATTTTGTTCCTTTACATGAGTCTAATGTCGTATTGTGTTTACGTAGTACATGAGTAACACGATGGAAGTGTATTATGTATCTCAAATGTTACAAACTTATAATATTCAGTGTCACAAAAGTTTTACTATCTCGGTCTCAAAAATATATTACCTCCTCAAAACCCTTTTCAGTTAAAAAGCCTCTATATAAATTATCTTACTATTATGCATCATACTTGTAACTAGATTATTGAGGGATCGACGTATAATTATTCACATTTTATTTATTAATGGTGTCTTATGTTTATGCCAGGCACAATGACACAACTGTTTGGAGCAGGCCGAAGTGAGTGTTCGGTAATTATGCTATGGACTTACGCTTTGGCCTCTGTATTTCTTACTCTTTGGTCCACTTTTTTCCTTTGGATTGTTACATGAAAAAAAAAAAAATTCATTCTCTTCGACCGAATTTAATAGTCACATTATTATAATTTAATTAAATTTTCACTATATTGGATATTGAAATTTTTGTAAGATACTCGCTCTACACCAATTATTTTTTATTTCTATGCAATACAAATATTTGTTGAGAAACTTGTTATTGAATGAAATCTCCTAGCGCTATGGACTTGTAACTTGTAAGTGGAATGAACTCTACTACTCCTTATTATGGTTGCTCAAGCCCGTTCCATATTCTCTCAAATTTTGTACTATAATTTTGTTGGTGACTTTGTGGAGAGGGAATTATAAAAAGTAAATGATTTGATTTCACGTTTTAGATACCATTTTTAAACATTTTAACCAATAAATTATATTAGCATCAACATAATATGTGGAGTTAAGTAAAAATCAATAAAAATATAACCAAGGAAGAGAGAGAAGAAAGAATTTGTTGATTTCACCAAAGTTGTTGGAATAAAACAAGATCAATAGATTTATTTTTGGAGATTGGTTTGTTCCATATATATATATATATATAGACATCAATCTATAGGATGCAATTTATTTTTGACAATTAAACTTTTATGGTCCACTAAAATGACTGGTAGTTGATTGTAGCCTTATGAAACTGTGGAAACATGTGAACGAAAATGGGAGGCATGCATGCTTTGCAGTATACGTATTACGTACTACATATGTAAGCGAGGTTTCTAGGAAATAGAGTGATGTATTTTTTTTTTTTTTTGTACTCGTAAAAGAATTAACAAGGTCCGGACAAAGAAGATATAGACAAGGATTGTGTTTTTTACTCTTGAAAGGTACTTTGTATATATATGTTCATATTTATTCCGTCTCTTTTTATAAGGTCACACCTCAATAAAGCAAATAGTTTGACACCAACCAATCCACTACTAAATATCCTGCTCGAAAGAAGGATTGGATGAAATTTAAACTCGTGACTTTTTTATCACGCTGACTTTGATATCATGTCAAAGGTCTAATTCAATCAACAACTTAAATAGTGGTTAACTTTAAATTGATTAATAGACGTATACTTTACACCAAACACTAATAAACAATACATTCGAAAAAAAAAACCACTAATAAACAAAATTCGGATGTCAAAACCTCAGCATCAATCGTTCACTCCATACACCATATAAAGTAACCATCCAAATTTTGACTAAAGACAGTATCCAAGGGATCTAATCACGGCTCCATAATATATGTACTATAATTGATTCATTCACTTTTCTAACCTTAGTATTTCAACCCAACTTTTCTTTCTCTGCTTCCTCTCTTATATATTTTCCTCCCCTTTACCAAATTCAAGAGAACAAGTTGTAAACTTTCCCAAAAAAAAAATTCCAAAAAAATGGGGTTTGTAGATTTATTAGTGGTGGCTTCAATACCAGTTGCGAAAGTGCTATTGGTAGCAATTGTAGGATTATTTCTGGCATTAGAGCGTATTGATTTATTGGGGGAAAACGCTCGTCATCATTTGAACAAGATTGTGTTCTATGTTTTAAGTCCTTCTCTAATTGTGGCTAACTTGGCTAAAACTGTCACCTTTCAAAGTTTTCTTACCTTGTAAGCTTATTTATTTACTTTTATAGTTATACGAAGTACATAAATTTTTAATTAGGATTGTTGATCGTCGTGAAATTGATAAAATGTCGAAGTAATTAATTATGATTTTGTTTATTGAAAATGTATAGGTGGTTTATGCCGATAAATATATTGATTACGTTTTTAATAGGAGCAATATTAGGATGGATGCTTGTTAAAGTTACAAGACCTCCTAAGCATCTCAAGGGCCTCATAATTGGAGCTTGTTCTGCTGGTATTTGCTTTTACTTTTATTTTTAGTAACTATAATTTGGATACTTGGTTTATGATCAAGCCTTTGACTTTGAGATTTTTATTAATGAACACTTGATCAGCAACATGTAATTTTCGTTAAATTGTCTTGTTTATCTGTCTTGTTACTTTAATTAAACTGGTACCGTAATGACATTGACTCCAACGGAGTAGTTACATGTAAGCTAGTGGTCATAATGATTTTAAAATAGTCATAAAAAGTTGTCACGACATTTCAAAATAAGTGTTCTTCAAACTAATTTAATTGTCTAAATTTATGAATGTATTTGAAATCATTGTAACTATTTTTGTATGAGCGAGATTATGTAATTGAGCTTATTTCATCAGTATTGATCACATCTAAAGTTTATTTTTCTAATCTTATCAAATTTAGATTTTACTTTGTAGTCCGTATTATATACGTAGTATATATCTTATGTGAATAATGTACTGCTTAAATTTGAATGCAATATCAAGTCATAATTACTAGAGTATGTAAATATGATAAATGGACAAATTGTCAAAGGGGAACTAAATAAAATGATAGATGAACAAACACTCCTGCCAATATGTTTGTTTATCCCCTTTGCGTTGAACATGTACAGTGTGTTTGGATAAAGAAAGAGGAAGGAAAAGAAGGGGAGAGAAGAATGGTGAGTTTTCCTTCCAAATCTATCCATTGTTGGAGGGATTATTTTCCTACAATTTAATCCCTCCATTTTTCTCCCCTCCAATTCCCTTCCTTCCTCATTTGTTATCCAAATGATAGATACTCCATCTCTCCGTTTCCCTTCCCTTCTTTTCCCTCCATTTCCTTCAATCCAAACACACCGGTAATTTTTGATTGTGTATGCACGCATAGTACTCTGAATATATTAATGTACTCCATAAAGCCATAATGGACTTAACGTTGGTTATAATTTTTTTTATAATGCCTTTTTCAACAGTGTTGATTCGTGTCCCTAATTAGCTTATTTATATAACAGAATGACACAATTTTTTAATAACAGGGAATATGGGTAACTTGCCTATCATCCTAGTTCCAGCGATGTGCAAAGAGAAGGGCAGTCCATTTGGAGCTACTGATGTTTGTGAGACTTATGCTTTGTCCTATGCGTCTCTTTCCATGGCGGTATGACTTTGGAATTCGACTAAAAAAATAATTTATCTTTTTCACCCACCAATCATGTTGTAAACTGATGTTTGTGACAATTTTCTGATACATATCCCTAAGAGCTATATTTATTATTTTCCTATAATTAACTAAAATGTTTTCAGATAGGGGCAGTTTACTTGTGGTCATTTGTATACAACGTTGTGAGAATTTCTGCTGAGGAAGTAGCAAGAGATAAAGAGGCAATTAATTACTCAAGCATCAATATTGAGGAGTCCAATCAGGAACCCCTCCTTCCTTGCAGTGAAGATCATTTGGTTATAGACTCTCACTCTAAATCATTGGCAAACTTACTCTTTCTAATTCAAATTATTTGCTACATTAATTTGACTGTTGCACTACGCCACTACTTATACATTAACTTTGACCACATCCTCATATACATATGTCTTAAACCACCTTTATACATATCTGCATATATTTATGGTCAAACATGTGCATTGACAACTGTCAAATGTGTTGGTCAATGATTGATACAGTACGTTGATAAAATAACTAGCTACTTCTAAAATTATTATTATAGTTAAATATATACATCGATATTGAAATAATTCTAAAGTGTCGAGATTTTATTGGACAGGTTTCATTACCAGTCAAGATACACCAATGCATAAGAACTTTCTTAGAAAAGGCCAACCTCAAAGCAGTGTTCGCACCATCAACTATTGCAGCGGTATCCACTAAACAAATCTACTTTAATTTGCTAGTTTCAATCATTTATATTCAATTTATCAATTAATCATATGAAATAAATGTAATATATAAATCACAAATTTAATTATCGTATCCTAGTTTAATAGAAAGAACAACTTTTAGAGATAGTTTGCATATATATTTGTATTTATTTTATTGGACTTCATCCCATGATAAATTATGAGCCTAATTATAGCGCGATTCTTGATGTAGATACTTGGGTTTACAATTGGAATGATACCTCCGATCCAAAAATTGATGATTGGCAATGATGCTCCACTTCATGTTGTCACGGACTCGGCCTTCATAATTGGGTAATCACCCTTCTATACAAAAAAAATTTATTACAGTTTTTGACTTTTATGTTGTAGACTTTTAAAATTTGCAAAATCTAACAAAATTAGCTTTCTTAATGCTCTATTGTAATAATCTAAAACTAGCTACTTCAACAAGTTGTTGGACTGCATGAAAATAACCTCATAATAGAATATCAACTAACCTTCAATCAGTTGGACAAACAAAACACTAAGTGTACTATAGTGTCTACTATATCAATTAATTTTGCCGAACATAATTTTATCATTAATTATGGTCACTAATCCCTATCCGACTCCAATCCACTCTAAAAATAAAATTTAAAAAGGGCAACATCGTAACATATGTATCCCTAATATACAGAGAAGCAGCCATCCCAGCTCGCACTATAATACTTGGAGCCAACCTCCTTAAAGGTATATATAATCTCATCTCTTCCTAATTTATTCAAACATTTAATAAATTAAACTTTGTTCAATAATCTTTTGGACTTTTGATGGTCAGGTTTGAAGGGTACAAGTATTCAACTAAGAGTTATTCTTGGGATAGTTGTAACTCGCTACGTAATTCTTCCTCTGCTCGGAATTTTCATAGTTAAGGGTGCACTCCTAGTTGGCCTTGTTCCGTCTGAAGATAAATTGTTCGTATTTATTCTTCTTATTCAATATGCCATGCCACCAGCAATGAACATAGGTATGTAAACATGCACCATTCTTTATTCTAATGCCATTCATGAATTCTTTAATGGTCTGATTTTCATATTGCTTGATTTTTAGTTGAAATTGTATCCAGAGAAGCAAATGTGATTAAGTAATTTCTGATTGTTAATCCTATTGTGCATAATCATATAATTTGGATTATACAGAGTAATTAACATTTTTCTTGTGTTTTATGGGCTTATGACTATGGCAGGTACAATGACACAATTATTTGGATCAGGCCAAAGTGAGTGTTCGGTAATTATGCTATGGGCTTATTCTTTGGCCATTGTGGCTCTTACTCTTTGGTCTATTTTTTTTCTTTGGATTGTTACATGATAAAATCATACGAGTACTACAATATCATTTTCTTTTACCGGAATTAATAGTCACATTGTAGTTTGTTTTATATAAGACCATAATCGAAATGAAATTTAATAGTAACAAGTATTGATATGGATACACAGAGTACATTTCTTTTAAAGGTAAGGTACATGGGGAGGTCCCCCCACCCTATCACAGGAATGGGAGGATGAGGAGTCGAACATCCTTGGATATACAGAAAGCCAAGTTGCAAACACTCAACGACCAAAAATGTACTATTTCAATACTCGTAGTATATTTTGTTGTGAAGAAAAAGCTACAAAAGGGATTTAATCTCATGTATTTTGTACAAGCCACTTCCATAAATATTACCAACTATACTAATGGAATTCGCTGGAAATGTACCTTAATGGAGCTGAGTAGCTTCTGGTAAAAAAAAACTTCTGGTCATGATTTTTCCTTTATAATTTAAGTGGTAAAAAGCAAGGAATTTGATAGCAATTAGGCAAATTACAGGCTATCTTTTTATTCTCAATTATTATTACAGAGTATTAATTTTATCTTTCAAATTATATTCAGTCAATATTTGCTATCATTGCTATGAGTCAAGATTTGATCATATGTTGATGACTCTTAAATCATCACTTTTTAACTTTTTTGTTATAAGAGTATAAGAATTCTGGAATGTGTTGTCATCAAATGAAATTAATTACTTGATTCTTCTCCAAAATTTTTTTTTTAATGTAATTACTTGATCCTAAATTCTCCCTTTTTTTTTTTTTCGGAACCAAATTAAGTATACTCAATTAGCATATTATAGAATGATTTAAGTTGTGTATATGTATGGGCAGTATGGTATACTATTTCAGAATGTTTGTAAAAATATTTCATATTTCTTACAGAGTTGTGCGGACAATAATGTTTCTAGTGGTTTTTATTGGACTAGTTCTTAATATTCCCCCTTTTAAATTATTTCTGCTCATTCAAGATTGATGTTTAATAATCTTATAATCAAATAATCATTTCATCAAAATAACCAATGTTAGTCAAAGTTATAAATCTCAAAGATGAGAAACTTTTTTTTTTGTGCTATCAATTGTCACTTCACACCTAATCTATTACATATACAAGTATATGAACATATTACATATGTATATATACATTACATGAGATTTACAACATGATATAAATGCTTTATTCCAAATATTTTGGTCACATAACTTCATTGTCTGCCCAATGGGTAGGGTATATAATCTCAGATCAGAAAGTGAGCTACTAGAATAAAGCATCAAAGCATCCCAATTCCAAAAAAAAGGTCGACAAATGCAATAATTTAGTGTAAGACACTGAGACTACAAGTTAGTCCCAAAAAGAGTAATAAGTTCGGAAGAAGAAATTCACTCGATCTCACAATAAATTACTATTATAAGATCGTCTCTCATCATACAAATTTTTAAATTAGTAAGTCATTACGTTAGCATGGGCATGGATTAACACCTCTAATCAAGTATTAATTAATCTACAATTGTAAACCCAAAGAAGGAAATAAGACAAAGTATATTCCAACTTCCCTACACCTCACACAATGTTGGACGAAAGAATATATAATTCAGTGCAAAGTACCAGATTCTATTGAAATTAAAAACATGAACTAATTGACATTATATGTTTATTACTTGATGGTTGTTAGTGCATGACAACATTAGATTTGACATTTTGACATGACAATAGATAAACAGTTTTAGCAACTTTAATTTATGCCATCTTTAATTTGGGTTCTTTCATTTCGTGCTATGACATCGTTGGGTTTTGATCTTTAGCTCAATCGGGTAAGTAGATTTTGGAATTTTATTGATTTCGAGTTGAAAATTGTAATTAGTACTTAAAGTTATTGATGATGTTTCAACTCGTTTGTCTGGTTAACCTCTATATTTTCTCTAATTATATACGAAGTATTTCGATCTTTCTTCCCAAATTACTTGCTAATGAAGTAATTTTATTCACTTATTAAGAGAAAAATTAGTTAAGGAGACCAACTTTAGAGAAATTAAAAAATGTGTTGAAAAACTACAAGTAGACAGTAGAAATTGTTTGTAAGTAGCAATTGTAACATCCAAACCCCAACACTTCTTCTGGCACCTTCAATCTCTTCATTGAGATTTTCTGTAATTAGCTATCCTTTACTGGTATGAGTTACGAAGTATTACAATAAATTTTCTGTAATATAAAAATTAAAAAGACACGTAAAAAATTGTTAATTATTTGACGACAAACCCACTAGTATTAGACCCTAAACCAATGATGTTAGTGACTACAATTTTACATAAAATATTATTAATAAAAGGACTTTTTGTCCTAAACTACCTCATAAAGCTAGATTTTGTGACAAACTACCTAATAAAAAAAATGTTGTGAGAAACTACTTAATAAAAGGTACTCCCTCCGTCCCTTAATTAGATGACTACTTCTCTTTATTATGTGAGTAATAAATGCTAGAAATAGGCATCTAATAAAGGGACGGAGGGAGTGAAATGTTATAAGAATCTACCTAATAAAAGTTAAAAATGTGTTGTAAAATACTACCTCTATTGGATTTCCACCGTTGACCCACCTCAAAACATCCCCGAAACCACCGCTTTCATCCCCAAAACCAACACAACTTGCTTGAAATTGTCTCCACCACACCGAAACCACCCTCCAACCCCAAAACCACCACCTCTAACCCCAAAAACCACCATTCCAAAGCACAAACTACCATCGATCACCAACTCGGAATATCCTCCAACTACCCCGAAATAACCTTACCACCTTGAAAACCAACCCTCGCACTAGTTTCGGGGGTGTTTTGAGGTGGATGAACGCCGTAAAATTAGGTCACTAGTGAAAATTCGGTCAAAATAGTATCGAACAACATTTTAACTTTTATTAGCTAGTTTCTTACAACATTTTTTTTATTGGATAGTTTCTCACAAAATTTAGATTTTATTAATTACGTAGTTTCTAATAAAAAAATACTTAATAATATGTGCTTAAAGTTACAGAGTAGTATATAAATGGTGCAATTAGTATGTCCAAACAACAATACATGTATTCAGAAATAGAAGAAGCGTAAAAGACAGATCTAACATCAACTTTTTTTTGATGTAATCAACATGAGCGGCTGAGCACACAACAGAACGCCGCAACATGAAGTTGAAAGAAAACTTTATAGGTGTGATTCTGTTTCTTAACCCCAACATTACAATTCATTCAAGCACTAATAAAATTTCCGTCTTAGCTTAGCTTAGCTTAGCTTTCTACCACTTGATATAAGAACAAGGCCCCTCTCTAGATGCTTCTGCCAATTGCCATACAAAGTGGAGTAGTTAGTGATTATATACTTGCATTGTATACTTGAATTAATTATGTAGCACTTTACAAAAGCTTTTGCCAAAAGATTGCACTATTTTTGCCTATATATATGTACGCAAGTGCATGCATGCTTTATAATTTTGTAGTTAACAATTTCTCTAACACTTAGCTAACTTAACTTTTTTTATTTTCAAGAAAAAAAGAAAACAATGGGGTCTTTGTTTGATCTGTTTTTTGTTGCATCAATGCCTATTTTGAAGGTTCTTTTGATCACTGCCTTAGGCTTGTTTCTTGCCATTAATCGTATCGACATCTTGGGAGAGACGGCTACACATCATCTTAACAAAGTTGTTCATCAAGCATTTCTTCCCTCTTCCTCTTTTATAATTATATAATTTTAGAGTTAAATTAAAGTATTAATTTTAAAATGTTTAACTGATGAAGTCATAGGTCCTTTGCTTTTCTGTTTGCCTAGGTTGTGTTCTTTGTTTTTGGTCCTGCACTAGTCGGTAGCAACTTGGCCAAGACAGTCACCATCAAAACCTTTCTTACTTTGTGAGTAATTTTCTCTTCTTGTTCAAGCCATGATACTAGTTTTGTTATTTCTCGTTTACACCTTATAAAAAATTATTTTTAACAGTATTACTAACGTGTGCATGTGTGTGCACTCGTTTATACCTTATAAAAGATTATTTTTAACAGTATTACTAACGTGTGCATATGTGTGCACACACGTTACGAATGTAATTAATGAATTTATTTTCGTTTCATGTTTTATGACAGATGGTTTATGCTAGTAAACATCCTCCTTACATTTATATTGGGATCAGCAATGGGTTGGGTACTTGCTAAGTTTACGAAAGCTCCAAAGCACGTCAAAGGCCTCATTTTGGCATCTTGTTCTGCTGGTAATTTTCGTTATTCTTCCCATCTCATTGCTTTAGTAGTTGTGTCATCGTTGTTCCATTCATCTTTTGGCCTTATATTACCTTTCTTAACTATCTCAGCTCGACAATAAATGAAATGAACGAATAAAATCAGCTTCTTCAATGAGCTATTATAAAGTATCATTACTATGGCGGAGTCGGATTATAATAAAACCTGCCTAATTTTCCTTCAAAATAAAAGTTAAAGAGTTATTACACAGGAGCTAATTTGAGTTAATTAGCATTGTACTAGTATTTGTTAACGATGCTTCTCCTTTCTTATTTTGATGGTTTAGGCTCATATGTTGCACGATTTATTTATTTATGTATTTTTTTTTTTTGAAGTGGATATGTATTCTATTTTATTTAGAAAACATGTAGGTATAATTACATTGTTATTATTGTTATTTTTTTTTAAAAAAAAAATATTCTTAAATTAGGAAAAAAAAACTAATAAAGTCATAAATAGTTTAGACTGAGAAAATTTTCATAATATGTTTACACATGTTCATCAATGACGCCATCAATAACTTGTTTTGATAATAGACAATGAGTTATAGTTTTTTTTTTTTTTTTTTTTTTTTTTTTTTTTTTTTTTTTTTTTTTTTTTTTTCTTTCGCTATGCAACGAATTGACAATTGTGATATGGAAACTTTTTGTTAACATAATTTTATAGATTTTTATAGGTTGTAATTTGAGTCTCTTTTTTCTCCACTATGTATAGGGTGTTAAATATTGAATATTGAATATTGAATATTGAATAATTAATCACCTTGATGATCAAGCATATATGTAACTTCTTTTCATTCTTGAAAGATTCTTGCTATTTAAAAATGACAATAGATGATGGCATTGTGCATTCAAAATGTTTAGCATTGTATATATATATTCAATTTTAAAATAAAAATAATTGTTAACCCACTGCAATTGCCCAACTTATGAAATTAATATATGCATTAGAGTATGCATCACTTACAAATGTCTCAAAAAGCAAGTTTCATTCTACTTACGACCATCTAGTCATATTACTTTAATTTCCCATGAGAAAACATGCGGTATACCGTATACTATTTTACTTTTTATTTGCTCCATTGAATACATATGAAGTACAAAGTACTAAAAGTTGTGTCAAACTTATCTAAAGAGATAGGAGAATTTACTAGTATTTCCTACAACTCACATATTCTTATGATTCTACTCCTAGATTAGCTAATAAGCTTTATTTATTAGAACAAATTTGTCTTTAAGTTTAACAATTGCATACTTAGAATCTTCTGTTTATTTTTATTTGACATGTTTATTTAAACATGTTTGCTAATTAACAATTAGAATAATATATATATAACGACGTAAATTTTCATATTGTAAAATATATTAACTTATTAAGACATACTCGGTATTTTATATTTAACAACACTCCAATATGAATATGTTTATTTTTTAGTGTAATTTAAAAAGAAAATCAAAATAATTTATTTAAATAGTTTTTAAAATTAAAATGTGTTAATTAAAAAGAAACGAAAGGAAACTTCTTTGCATATAGATTTTGGCCTAGAAATCAAAGTGACAATAGACCAAAATTAAGCTTTAACTATTTACTGTACTACCTTTGCCACCGGACCCACAACCTTGTTGTGGCCACTGCTTCTTTCACCCTGTCCCCCACTGTCTAGCTATTCATTAGCTGTAATTACCAATTAGTAGCCACATTCTCCTAATTTAATTGTGAGTTAATTGTAATTATTGTTGCTAATGACGCTAACCCTTTAGCTCAACATTGACTAACAAAATCCATTATTTAAAAGCTATATGCAAGCATGCAATTTTTTATTTATTTATTTTTTTTTATTGTTTTTTTTGGGTAGGTAAAGAGAAAGTTCTACTGGATTAGAACATCTCACAATATTGGGACTATTTATGGGTAATTCAGCTCTAATTACTACTACTTCATGTGTCTTGAATAACTTAGACTATGACTTTTATAATAGATTAATAGGTGTGAAAAAAAATGAACGAAACATATAATCATACATAGATTTACCATAAGTGGTTCACTAAGGCTCCGCCCCTGTTACTAACAATGTGTTAGGTACGTCTACAAACAATGAGAGTAAGTTTTATTAATTACTCTTGAGGATAGTACAGATCATTTACAATATAGGTAGGAGTGAGCAAAAATTCTAAGTACCCGAAATTGGAACCGGAACCGGCAGGTCCGGAACCGGAATTGGATCCGGTGGTTCCAATTTCGGGTAATAAATTAAGGAATCGGTTGCAACCAGTTCCAATTTCAATTCTCGATTTTTTGGACCGGCCCGGATCGGTTGGTTACCCGGTTGTCCAACATGTGTTACACTAAATAAGTTTTTAAAAATAAAATTAGGTTAAATGTATCTAGTTAATAAAATAAAAAAAAAATACTATTAATACCCAACATAAATAAAACAGCTTAATGTATATATAAATACAAGTGTTAAACGCTAAAAATGAAAATAAACTAAAATAAGTATTATAATTTATATTATATTTTAACAATTATATACATAAGTGGGTACCCGAAACCGGAACCGTTACCCGGTGATTCCAATTCCAAGTCCTAAATTTTAAGTCCCAGTTGAACAATTTCAATTCCGGTTCCGGATTTTAGGACCCGGTCCCAACCAATTCCGGGTCCGAGTCCTAAAATTTTGACCGGGTACCCGATTTGCTACCCCTAAAAATAGGGTAATTAATAACTAAAGAGTTATTATAGTACTCGGTACTTCACTACTTCTGAAAGGATACAAGTACATAATAAGCCCAAATATAGGCCAAAACTAAAAACTTAACCTACATGGAGTAACAAATATTGTAATAAGTATGCATTTTAAGGCATATTCTAACAATGACGATGAGAAAATATATCCTTTTCGTGTGCATCCGATGCATCAGATCACATGCTTAATTCCATGCATACCATGTTGTTAATATTCGTATTGGATTTTATTGCACGAATAAATGCTATCGAAATGTTGTGCATTACTACGCAAGCAAGTAATTTAAGAGGAAGTTCCATGCAAGTAAATATTACTGTCGATTGTGGAAACAGGAAATCTAGGGAATATGCCTATCATCATCCTCCCTGCAATGTGCAAAGAGAAAGGCAGTCCTTTTGGAGCACCCGATGATTGCGAGCGCTATGGTCTAGCTTATGCTTCACTGTCCATGGCGGTAATTTGCTACATTTAGCTTATTATTACTTCTATTTCTTTAAAATTACTATAAACTATAGCGACTTATGAAATACAGAGAGTGTATAAACTAAATATAAATAAGAAAATAAAGTTGCAGGGAAGGAAATAGCTAGAAAGTGTAAAAATGAAAAACGAACAAATTTACATTTAAGTATAAAACTGTTTCATGTGGTTTATTTGAATCATGTTTAGTTCATACGAAATATTGTACAATATCTGGTAACGAGTCATTCAAATTGTATCACATACGTATTAGTATCAAATGGACTCTGATCAATATTTGACGTGTTAGTATCCAGATTGGGTTTTAGGCTAATCGTCTATGTAAATTTTATAAAATTTCAGATAGGAACTATATACTTTTGGCTATATGCCTACAACATAGTTCGAATTTCTTCAAAGGAGGCAATAGCAAGTGCAGGTGTAATTGATGAAACAGTGATGAATGTGCAACCACAAGGAGAACCACCCTTACATTCTTCAGATAATTACGCTCTTGAAGATCCGGGCCTCTCCAACTCCTCTTCTAAATCAATGGTAATATTCAGACTAATTTTTCTCTCCTTCATTCAAATTTTTATGTACAATTAACATATGTTCTTAATCGCCATACCAAATTCGTGTTAGAGGTTAATATAAGACGGTTTTGTGTACTGTTAACAGGTTAAATCATCTTCCAGGGTAAAGCAATGCTTAAGGATTATCTCCAAAGAGTTCAACCTCAAGGCAATTTTGGCACCTTCAACTATTGGAGCGGTATCAACGTCAAACAATAACCATTTTTATAAACTAATATTATATCCTACTGAATATACTGAAGAAGTAACCCTTTTTTAATTTATTCATCCCCTTTTATTTTGATTTAGATGGTTGGATTTTTTATTGGGACGATTTCTCCACTTCGTAAGCTGCTCATGGACAACACTCTTCATGTTGTTGGAGACACAAGTTTCATGATTGGGTATGTATTAAGCTACATATAAAAATAACGCATCCTCAATTCTTTAATAATCGCTACAATTTGACTTTCACATTGCTACTTTAGCCAGTGGTTAAAGACTAATCTACATCCTAGTCATTAGCTTAGCATAAGTCCTACAGTTAAGTTTTAACTGTATGTCATTTCAATTGTGTTGCAATACTCACAGAGATGCAGCCATCCCCTGTTCAATATTGATACTCGGCGCCAACCTCCTAAGAGGTACTAATACTTGCACATCTCTTTTGCTTCACCACTGCACAATCTAGCTTGCTGGTAAGATTTTGATTAAAAGAAAAATTAATGGGTATCTTTATATATCAGGTTTAAAGGGATCAGGAATTCGAGTTACAACAATTATAGGAATAATAGCAGTTCGGTACATATTCTTACCCTTGTTGGGTATTCTTGTTGTTAAAGGCGCTGTTCTAGCTGGGTTTGTGCAATCTCATGATATATTCCTTCAGTTTGTTCTTCTGCTTCAGTTTGCCCTTCCTCCAGCAGTAAGCATCAGTAAGTATTCTACAGTATCATAATCATCCTACCAAACTATTCTGTGGATTTAATTTTTACAGAATCAATTAATACAACACGATTATGATTGTTTTATGTTAGTTTTCAGCATTTTTTGATTCAGTAACTAAAGAATGGTTTTGATGCTCATAACAGGTACAGTGACAGAGCTGTTTGGAGCAGGTCAGAATGAATGTTCAGTTATCATGCTTTGGACTAATGTTTTGGCTCCGATAACACTCACTCTTTGGTGCACATTCTTTCTCTGGCTTCTGGCTTAACGGGTCCGACCGCTTCTTAGAACCAAATCTTTCTCACTAGACAACATCAGTGAATGGCTAACAATGGAATTATGCAGACATGAAGACGTCGTCTTCAGAACTACATTGTTTGTACTTGTACAGTAGGCAATTTATCTTTAGAAGATCAGATTTATTAGAACATAGATAGAAATTTGAAGAGAACTCCAGGTCTCCTACAAACATTCTGGTTTTTACTTCACTATTTTGATGTAATTCCTTCATAAGTCCATTTGATCTTGTTTAACTGTCTTACTAGGAAAAATTTAAGACCAGAGGAATGATAATTAGGTTTGTTAAAAATATTGTCTCCACAACCTTTTTTTATTCCCATTTCAAGTTCATCTGTCTTCAAAAGTTCTTCCCAATTAAAATCTTAACACTATTCATAAGGTAAAAGAATTTAAAAATTTAGTCTCAGTATATGAATTATAACATATTCATGTTGGAGTTTATTTGATTCGTTTGATCTTAATGAGTAATTTACTCCGTATTCAATTATTTGATTCGTCTCAATGAATAGATTATAAGTATTCAATTATTCGATTTGTCTCAATAAGTAGATTATTAATATATTAATTAACTCAAGCACTAACAAATTTGCCATCTGACCGTTCTTCCACTTGATATAAGAACAAGGCCCCTCAATAGATGTCATTTCCAATTACCATATAAAGTAGTTATAAAATACTTTCATTGTATACTTAAATATCCCATATTCCCATTACCAATAGCTTTTGCCAAAAGACTACACTATTTTTGCTTCTATTACCTATATTATTATCATTGCTAACAAGTGCATGCTTTACTTATAATTTTGTAGTTAGCAAGAGTTAGAGAGGAAATATTCTAGCACTCTTAGCTAACAACCTTTTGTTCAAAAAAAAACAATGAGGTCTTTGTTTGATCTGTTTATTGTTGCTTCAATGCCTATTTTGAAGGTTCTTTTGATCACTGCCTTAGGCTCATTTCTTGCCATTAATGAATCGACATCTTGGGAAAGACAGCCACACATCATCTGAACAAAGTTGTTCATCTTTCATCTAAAGCATTTCTTTCCTCGATCTTCCTCCTTCATACATATATGTTAGGTTTTAGAGATGAACTCATAGCTCCTTTTCTTTTGTGTTTGCATAGCTTGTGTTTTTTGTTTTTGGACCTGCACTAGTCGGTAGCAACTTGGCCAAGACAGTCACTATCAAAAACTTCCTTACTCTGTGAGTAATTTTCTCTCCTTGTTCCACAATTTTTGCTATTTCTCCGTTTACATCTATAAAAAGATTATTTATGAACAGATAGAGCTATCGATTAACAACAGTACTTATGTGTGCATGTTGTGATTTTTTTTTCGTTTCGGGTTATATGCATGGTAACAGATGGTTCATGGTAGTAAACATCTTGCTTACATTTCTATTGGGGTCAGCAATGGGTTGGGTACTTGCTAAATTAACGAAAGCTCCAAAGCACATCAAAGGCCTCATTTTGGCATCTTGTTCTGCTGGTAATTTTTATAATTCGTCGCATCTCATTACTTCCATTTATTTATTTTTATTTATGAAAGAATTTATTTTTATGCAATTGATAGATGTAATAGTGGCGAGTAGCTACTGCTTTAGTAGTTGTGTAGTCGCACGGACTTTTATCTAGTTTAATTTATTTAGAGAAAGTCTAATTAATCCTGAGGATAATAAAGAATGTTTGATTTAAAAAATACAAGAAAAATGTGCATCGCACTTGCTTTTATCTAGTTTTGCTGTAAAACCAGGAAATCTTGGGAATACCATCATCATTCTCCCTGCAATGTGCAAAGAGAAAGGTAGTCCATTTGGAGCACCTGATGTTTGCGAGCGTTATGGTCTGGCTTATGCTTCACTTTCAATGGCGGTATATTACTACGTCTAGCTTCTTTCACCCTCTACCATATTCCCCCTAATTCATAGTGAATGCTCTCCTTTCCATTTTGGTATTTCTTAATTTAATCCAAAATTATTGTTTTATTTATTTATTCAATACTACATATCACTACTCCCTTTTATTTTAACTATTGCGATTAGTAGAATAAAGGGAGTATATAAATGAAGACAAATACAAACTATTGCGACTAATGGAATAGAGAGTATATATAAACTGAGACAAAATAAGAAAAACATAAATAGTAAGCACTTTTGGCTAGTTAAATTTTTTTTTTTTTTTTTTTTTATTTTATTGTAATTAATTTTCACATAATTTCAGATTGGAACCGTATACTTTTGGCTATATACCTACAACATAGTTCGGATCTCTTCGAAGGAGGAAACATCAAGCACAGGTGTAATTGATGAAACATTGGTGAATGTACAACCACAAGAAGAACCACCCTTACATTCTTCAGATAACTATGCTCTTGAAGATCCACCTCTCTCCAACTCTTCTATAACAATGGTAAGATTCAGATGATAATTTAAAGTTTATATGCGTAGTTCTTTGTATACATTTAACATATGTTCTTAATCTCCTTGGCAAATTCGTGTTAAAAGTTAATTATAAGACGGGTTTATGTTAACAGGTTAAATTGTCTTCCAGGTAGGGGTGAGCAAAAATCCAGGGTGCCCGGGACCGGGTCCAAAATTAAGAACCCGGTTGTAATCGGTTCCGGTTCCAAATCCTAAAATTTTGGACCCGGTACCCGGTTGTATATGATATAGTATGTGGATTGTTTGTGTTTTTAAGAAACTAAAGAGTTATGTACAACCCATTTTAATTTCTAAGCTCAATTGCTTATAAAACTCTCAACCCACTATCAAACAAAACCTTAAAACTTCTAGATTTTTCTCTCCGCTCTACTACACCGGTTACCCAACATATATTGTACAAAATATATTTTAAAAAACAAAAATATGTTGAACGTAACTAATTAGTAAAATAAAAAAATATATATTAATATTTAATATAATTAAAATAGCTTAATGTATATAAAAATATAAGTATTAAACACTAAAAGTAAAAATATACCAAAAAAAATATTATGATTTGTATTATATTTCAACACTTATATATATAAGTGGGTACCCGGAATCGGATCGGTACCCGGTGGAACCAATTCCAATTCCTAAATTTTAGGACCCGATTGTACCGGTTCCAATTCCGGTTTCAAATTTTAGGACCCGGTCCCAACCAATTCCGGGTCCGGATCCTAAAATTTTGACCGGGTACCCGGTTTGCTCACCCCTACTTCCAGGATAAAGCAGTGGTCAAGGATTATCTCCAAAGAGTTCAACCTTAAGGCAGTCTTGGCACCTTCAACTATTGGAGTGGTAATTTCATCAAATAATAACCATTTATGTAAGATAACTTATATCCTAATGAATATAATGCTGAGAAATTATTGCTATCTATTCCCTTTATTTTGGTGTAGATGGTTGGATTTTTTATTGGGACGATTTCTCCACTTCGTAAGCTGCTCATGGACAATACTCTTCATGCTATTGGAGACACAAGTTTCATGATTGGGTATGTTATAAGCTATGAATTCTCATTTCATCAGTCTATAATAAAAACGCATCCTCAATTCTTTAATAATCGCTAAAGTTTGACTTCGACATTGCCACTTTAGCCATTGGTTACAGACTAATTTGACTTTCAAATTGGCTTAGCATAGTTTTTAACAATTAAGCTTTATCAGTATCTAGATTTGAAACTCAATCTTTTCAATTATTTTGTATTCGATTCACAGTGATGCAGCCATCCCCTGTAAAACCTTGATACTCGGCGCCAACCTACTAAGAGGTACCTATTACTTAAACATCTCTTTTGCTTCATTGCTGTATATTTTAGGTTACTGGTATGTTTTTGACGGAATTCTAATTTTCAGGTTTAAGGGGATCAGGAATTCAACTTACAACAATTATGGGAATAGTAGCAGTTCGGTATCTATTCCTTCCTCTGCTGGGTGTTCTTATTGTTAAGGGTGCTGTTCTAGCTGGGTTTGTTCAATCACACGATATATTCTTTCAGTTTGTTCTTCTGCTTCAATACACCATGCCTCCAGCAGCTAGCATCAGTATGTATTAGTGCCATCATTATCCAACCAAACTGCCCTTTGGAGTTAATTATTACAGATTCAATTAATACAACAAAATTATGATGGTCTGTTAGTTTTCAACATTTCTTTTTTCTTGTTCATGTAGTTATATTTTTCGGTAACTAATGAATAATTTTGATTTGATGCTCATAACAGGTACAGTGACAGAGCTGTTTAAAGCAGGGCAGAATGAATGTTCAGTTATCATGCTTTGGACTAATGTTTTGGCTCCGATAACACTCACTCTTTTGTGCACATTCTTCCTCTGGCTTCTGGCTTAACGGCGTCAAACGCTTCTTAGATCCAAATCTTTCTCAGTAGACAACATTAGTGACTGGCTAACAATGGGATTATGTAGACATGAAAACATCATCTTCAGTTTTACGTTGTATGTGTAGTACGGTAAGCAATTTATCTTAGAAAATGGGGATCAGATTTATCAGAATATAGATAGAAATTTGAAGAAACATTTTGGTTTTACTTCACTATTTTGATGGTTTCCTGCAAATATTTTGGTTTTATTTCAGTATTTTGATGTAATTCCTTCATAAGTATTCCCTTTGATCTTGTTGACTGTCTTACTAAGAAAATTTTTAGACCAGAAAATGGAAATTACAATCATTTTGTTTAAAAAAAAACAAAAACATTGTCTTTGCAACTTATTCACCTTTTAACCAGTTATAATATGTAAATGTCATTTGGAATTTAGTACTACTGAAAGTTTGACAATTGCTGTGAGCTTTTTACTTTCAAAAAATACTTCTAAAAAAAAATTAAAAAAAAAATTAAAAACTTTCTTGACAGGAGTAAACAACACATCTATTAATAATGGCTTTAGCACAAATTAATGATACAATTATGGCATAATTTTAAAGGGCTGAAGATTACAACATCGGGACATTTTTTTGGCGTGTAATGTAATGTGTATATACAGCACAATCAAAGGACTTAAAGAATTCTCAATTGGAGTTTGGCATGGCCAACCCTTTCTTTGTGCCTTTCAAACAAGTCTTGAAGCGCCTCAACGTACTGGCTATGAATTTCCAAAATCTACCAAAATGTGGAAGAAACAATCTGTTAAAAAAGGGTGAAATCCACAAAGGAAATCCACATTTTAATAGCCAATCGCTTAGGACCAGGCACGTAAAGGGACCAGAGTGACTAAGGAAGAGCTATTACAGAACTCAGGCTACTGACCATTACAATAGTACTAAGTATTACTCGTACTTATTAGCGACTACATTTGTTCATTGCTTTGTATTACTGTTATTTGGATTTAACATGTGTGATTGTGTCGGAGATG